TGATGTGCTCTCAGAATGTCTGTCTGATTCTGAGGAGGAAAGGGAGGCAGAGGCTGATCCCGGTGATGAGGACCAGGTCCAAGATCAGGATTCAGAGTCCGATGATGACGATCAGGTAACTGACCAAAGTCAGGAACAGGAGGAGGTTTCTGTAGCTTCTCCACAGGATGTTAAGAGGACACCCAAAAGCGAGCCCAGTTCTCCTATGAGTGTAATGGAGAGGATTCGAAAACGCTTTAAGTCAGAGGGGGAATCCCGTGATGCTGAGGACACACCTTCTGGTGGCGGTGAGTCAGAGATAACATCTGAGTTTGTGCCTAGAAGGTCCAGTCGCTCAACAAAGGGTATTCCACCTGAAAGATATCAGGCCACAAGTGCGTGGATAGGTTTCGCACAGTGTGATTCTGAGAGTGTTGAAGGGGTTCAACAGGTGCCTGGGAAAGATGCTGGAAAGAGGCACAAGGCAAAGGGAAGGGTATTGAACTCAAAAGGGTCTTGTCAGAATGGGCGGCAAAGGGGGGTGTTGGGGTTGGAACTTAACAGGTTAAGTTGTTCCCATGATGCCACACCATTCTGACGTCAGTTTTTCGAAGCTGGGAGGAGCTGGGAAGAGTTTTAGTTCTGTTCCTCTCTGTGCTTTGAGAGGGAAGGTCATGGCTGCTGTGAGTCCTGGAAATTTCTGAGAAATGTTGGAATAAACAACTGTAAATAGACAAACCTGGCTTCGTGTGTTTGTCTGGAAGCTAAACGCAAGAGAAGTGACAGTTTTTCACCGCTGTGTGTAACTCTGCTGGGCGTGACTGGACGACGGAGCTAAGTGGCGCAGCTCGGAGGGGAAGTGTGCCGGGCGGCCATAAATCGCTAATTGAGGATCGCAAATCAATTAGCGGGGGTCACGGTAAACAATCAACTCGTCACACAAACATAATGTTATGTCCAACATCTTGTGCCCATTTAATCATAGCAGATTTAACCGTTTCATCCTGCGTATTCCATTTTAACAGCAAGTTATACATTCTTGAAAGTATCTTAGTTTTGGGATTTAACAGTTCTGTTTCCAATTTTGATTTTTCCACCTGGAAACCAATTTTTTTGTCCAAATTATAGGCCTCTCTTATTTGATAATAATGAAGCCAGTCTCGCACTTTATCTTTTAATTTCTCAAAACTCTGCAATTTCAATTTATCTCCTTCTTGTTCCAATATTTCCCAATATTTCGGCCATTTGGCCTCCATATTGAGCTTTTTCTGAGCCTTTGCTTCCATTGGTGACAACCACCTTGAGGTTTTGTTTTCAAGTAAGTCTTTATATCTTATCCAGACATTAAACAATGCTTTCCTGACAATATGGTTTTTAAATGCTTTATGTGCTTTAACCTTGTCGTACCACAAATATGCATGCCACCCAAAGACATTATTAAAACCTTCTAAGTCCAAAATGTCTGTGTTCTCAAGAAGCAGCCAATCTTTCAACCAGCAGAATGCTGCTGATTCATAGTAAAGTTTAAGGTCTGGCAGGGCAAATCCGCCTCTTTTCTCTAAAACTTTAGTTTTTGACTTGTTCAGCTTAAATCCTGCCACATATAACCCTATACCTTCTTCCAGAAGGCAGAAGCTGAAAGAGATCATTTCCGGGGTGCGTACTATCCTGCGCTATCTCTGCAGCTTTCTTATGGCACCTGGAAGCATACCGTAGATTTGATCCAAGGTGGGAAGAGTGCACCCAGTTATTCTCTCCGTAGTCTTTACAACCCTGGACAGAATTGTTTTTCCCCTGACTGTGCAGCTCCCAAACCACACACACAGACCATAAGTTAATACACTCTCAACAGTACAATGGTAAAATGCCATCAACAGGTCCTTTGAGAGATTGTTTTTCCAGAGGATTCTCAGAAAATATAACCTCTGCTGTGCTCTCTTCATCAGGTCTTTGCTGTTTTCTCCCCAGGTTAGGTCATCTCTCAACTCCATTCCCAGAAATCGAAGGGGCGCTGTGGGTTAAACCACAGAGCCTAGGACTTGCCAATAAGAAGGTCGGTGGTTCGAATCCCTACGACGGGGTGAGCTCCTGTTCCTCGGTCCCAGCTCCTGCCCACCTAGCAGTTTGAAAGCACACCAGTGCAAGTAGATAAATAGGTACCACTCCAGCAGGAAGGTAAACGGCGTTTCCGTGCTCTGCTCTGGTTCGCCAGAAGTGGCTTAGTCATGCTAGCCACATGACCCAGAAGCTGTACGCCGGCTCCCTCGGCCAGTAAAGTGAGATGAGCGCCGCAACCCGAGAGTCGGTCACGACTGGACCTAATGGTCAGGGGTCCCTTTACCTTTACGCCGCATCCATCAGCTCTTAAGCCACTGCACTAGGTTGACCAGCTTAAGTGTTTGAAGCTCCCCCCCCTCATTTGCAACCATAATTTACCATGTTGTTCAGGTACAGTACTGGGCAGTTCTAGACAGGCAGAAACGCTTTAGACTTGCTGGATCAGACCAAAATCCAGCAAATTGTCTCTGAAATCCTGAAGGGACCCCCCTGAAATATTCCAAGCGACAAGAGAAAGGGACTGGCCCTGCTTTTTGGTGAGTTTGTGGTGTCTATGGCTCTTTAAAAAATAGAGAAAGGGAGGTGGGAATAGACGTTATTGAGGTTAGGGAAAAGCGAGGCCAGCCTGCTCATGAGGCAAGGTGAGGCGGTCACCTCAGGTGGCAGATTGGGCCTCCTCCACACGCCCACCTGCCTCCACCATGCCTGGTAATATCCCAGAGGTGGCTTTCTTTGCTGCAGCCCCTACATTGTGGAATCCCCTCCCCTGAGTGTGATGCATATTTATTTATTTCATTTATATTCCACTCCTTCGCCCAAGAAGCTCAAGGTAGCATGCATGGCTCTCTGCACCCTCAACTGAATCCCCACAGCGGCCTTGCGAGATAGGCTACCCGGGGGGTGTGTGTGTCACCCTGTGAACTTTGTGGTGGACTGCGGGTTTGAACCCTGGCCTCTCGGGTCACTGCACTCGGAAGCAGAAATGTGAATTCACCCTAAGAAATTCCTCAGCAGCTGACCCCACTGTTAACGGTTTAATTTCCTGAGCCAGGAATGTTTACTTATGTTAAATCACCATGTACTTTTAACATGGGCTTTTTCTCCTCTGGCAGTAGCTCTCATGTGATTGGCTGACTGTGAGCCACATGAAAGAGGCATTCCATTCTGTTGTGACTGTTATTCCAGTAACTGTCTTTTTTTTTTTTTAACTGCTTTCTCTCTGTGTATGTGAGAGGGGCTGGATGCTGAGAGAGACAATGTTGTGTCACTGATCTGTCAGATGTGAAACAGAGGAAGATCTGAAACATTAATAGGGAGAAACCTGTGCAGGAGCTCTCTGTAAAACTCTGGTGCAAGTCTCAACAGTTATGTTCTTAAGTCTAAGTAAGTCTCAGTCTACAATTCAAGTGGGAACATACCCATGTTTGAATAAGCATAAGATTGTAAATATATTCTCATATACAGATAGGTAGCCGTGTTGGTCTGTCATAGTCGAAACAAAAAAAATTCCTTCCAGTAGCACCTTAAAGACCAACTAAGTTAGTTCTTGGTATGAGCTTTCGTGTGCATGCACACTTCTTCAGATACACTGAAACAGAAGTTGCCAGATCCTTCTATATAGTGAGAAGGTGGGGAGGGGTATTACTCAGAAGGGTGGTGGGAATGGGTGATTGGCAGATAGCTGTGATGAGCCTGTTGACGACGCTCAACGACTGCAATAGGTCTTACAGGAAAAAGCTGGTACTTCCTGGTCTTACAGGAAAAAGCTGGTACTGGTACTTGGCTGGTACTTGTGTCAATCTTGCTTTTTCCTGTAAGACCTATTGCAGTCGTTAAGCGTAGTCAACAGGCTCATCACAGCTATCTGCCAATCACCCATTCCCACCACCCTTCTGAGTAATACCCCTCCCCACCTTCTCACTATATAGAAGGGTCTGGCAACTTCTGTTTCAGTGTATCTGAAGAAGTGTGCATGCACACGAAAGCTCATACCAAGAACTAACTTAGTTGGTCTTTAAGGTGCTACTGGAAGGAATTTATTTATATTCTCATATGTTCATGAAAGCAAAGTTCTTCTGAATATTCTGGACATTGTATAGTCTTTACAAAGAAGCTATCAATCACCTAGAAGTTATTTAGCCTCTTAGATGTAAGCTACTCTGTTTCTTTGGATATCATCAAAATTTGTGGAATCCCCTCCCCCGACAGTGATGCATATTTATTTATTTGTTTTATATCCCATCTCTATTTATCTCCCTGTGATCATGGGGTTCCTTGGAGGAACGGGTGTGTGCAGTATATGTGGCTGCTGTTTTTCTGAGTCTGAAATTAAACACAAGCAATAGGAAGCAAAACCTTTAATAAAATTAAACATTTCAACCGCATGAAATACAACCCCGTGTCTGCTGATATATATAAAAGCAGAAATGCTCCTTAGAAATCTATAGATGGAACTGCCTAATCCTTAACTTCCAATTATACTAGGGGGCATATTTGTATAAATGGAAATGTCTCACCATCCCCTAGAATTTGCTCTGTCCTCTCACAATAACTTTAATTTAGCAGGCTCTTCATTTCCAGAGAGGACACTGATGTAGAAAACCACCTCAGTGACTCTGAACAGAATGAAAGAAGACTGGCTTTTTAGTTTTTGCATTTCAGGAGCTGCCTCGAGAGAATAATGTTCTTTCCAAGGAGAAGCCAAATTTGCAGATGAGCAATTGGCTGGTACTTGTGTCAATCATGATACACCTTCCCATTTTCAGGCCGGTGACATGGACGGTAACGATTGGGTGACTCTTGTGTCAGTCAGGACACCAACCTGTTGGCCCTCCCTACTCTCCAGTCATGCTCACTACACGAGTCAGTGCAGGAGCTAAGCAAGCAAGCAAAATAATGATAATAATAATAATAATAATAAACCTGTTTTGATGTACGTCTTCTGTCTGTGCTGTCCTCCCTTAGTCAGAGAGGGTCAGGTGGGCTTTACGGGGCACCCAAAACAAGGGCAGGAGGGTCTCTCCTGAGAAGGGGGCTGCTGAGAATGTGCAGAGGAGGGCTGCCCTATCTGCATCATAAAAGGACACCCGTCCCCCTTCACAGTTCAGGGCCACTCGGATCCTCTCAGGCTCCTTGCTCAGGGTCATAGCAGCGTGGGAGGAGGCCTTGTATTCTCCTGCCCACTTCCCCAGACCCCAGACCCCTTCCTCAGGACCAAACGTGATCTGACCCTTCCTCTTCACAGACTTCCTGGCCACCCCCACAGCCCAGCCCCCCTCACTCCCCACAACGACCTCCCAGAAATGTCTTCCGCCTGTGAACCCCTCGCCTCCCAGCACATAGGGATGCTTGTCGAATCTCTCGCAATTGTTGGGCAGATCTTGTTCCTCATCGCCAAATCTCACTCTCTTACGATCCTCAGACAGGATGAGGTGGGGATGGGCTGTGTCTGGATCCAGAGTTACGTTTTCTGTGGAAGCAGATGAGGAAAGGGAAGAGAGACAGGGTTATGTCTCGACATGTGACAGGAACGGCATTTCCTCCCAAATTAACAGGGCTTCTAAGCACTGCATTTGGAAACGAGATGCTTAAAAAATAACAATTCACATTTACACTAGGCTTTTTAGTTCTTCAAAGCACTTCACATGTGCTATTTACAGTGGTACCTCGGGTTCAGAACTTAATTCATACTGGAGGTCCATTCTTAACTGAAACTGTTCTTAACCTGAGGTACCACTTTAGCTAATGGGGCCTCCCACTGCCGCCACACGATTTCTGTTCTCATCCTGAGGCAAAGTTCTTAACCCGAGGTACTTTTTCTGGGTTAGTGGAGTCTGTAACCTGAAGCACCACTGTAGTTATAAACCTTACAAAGGCCCTTACGGCAAATCCGTATTATTACCCCCATTTTTCAGATAGGAGGACTGAGGGTGACCCAGGGCCGCTTGTCTAAGGCCAATCGGGCAGTAGGTGGCAAAGGGGAGATTCAAAGCAGCGAGTCCCTGATTCGTAGCTCAATCTTTTCTGCCAACGTTCCAACAAAGACCTCGCTTGAAACCTCAGGAAAAACTGGCAACGAAAGATATCCTCCTTGTGAGCACGACCCAAATTTCAACTATTCATGTAAAATACTTTCTAACCTGCCATTTGAGGCAGTTCACAAAAAAACACAACAGAGCTATTTCTGTGCTTTCTCACTTATGAAAATGTGGGATGGTGGATTACTTAAGGCTCTCTCGACACTCCCCAAGTGAAGTGGCCAGTCTGAATCTCTGAAAGCTCCTGTTTGGGTGACTAGCCCCCAGGTTATGTGGCTGGGCCTGGGCATTTTATTGCCAAAATCCAGTTCTGGAGGGACTTGCGCTGGGGAGCAAGTCTTGACGCTTCCCTTTTCTGTACCTTTTCCAGCTGTTGGAATATCTCTTTTGTTGGTGCCCAGCACTAGACCAGGCTGAACTTCTGCCTCCACATCCAGCAATTTCTCCCCCATGTTGACTTCAATGTCTAAAATCCTTGGTAGAGGACAAGGATCCTGAGATCACGTTAAGGGTAGCCAAGTTCTGTGCGATTGACATAAAACTTAGGGAACAAGCTGTGTTATCATAATGATCAAGATTTTAAATGATAATTTCAGGTTATACCGTGGTACCTCGGGTTAAGTACTTAATTCGTTCTGGAGGTCCGTTCTTAACCTGAAACTGTTCTTAACCTGAAGCACCACTTTAGCTAATGGGGCCTCCTGCTGCTGCCGCTGCACAATTTCTGAAGCAAAGTTCTTAACCCGAGGCACTATTTCTGGGTGAGCGGAGTCTGTAACCTGAAGCGTACGTAACCTGAAGCGTATGTAACCCGAGGTACCACTGTATGTTAGTGACTTAGTTTTAATTTATATATTTTTTAACAGTTGCTATATCTGTATTTCCTCTGGAAATATGGGCCACCATCGGACCCCAAAATAACATACCTTGCTGCAGCTGAAATCCAGATCCCAGAGTGTCTGTGGAAGAAAAAAAGAACACTGTCATCTTCACAACAAATCTGGGAACACCACCACAATATTGCAGCATGCTATAAGTGAGGGCAAGGATGATGTGTTGGTGCCAAGGGTCAACCCTAGGTAAAGGGACCCCTGACCATTAGGTCTAGTCGTGACCAACTCTGGGGCTGCGGCGCTCATCTCATTTTATTGGCCGAGGGAGCCGGCGTACAGCTTCCAGGTCATGTGGGCAGCATGACTAAGCCGCTTCTGGAGAACCAGAGCAGCACATGGAAACACTGTTTACCTTTCCGCTGGACCGGTACCTATTTATCTACTTGCACTTTGACGTGCTTTCGAACTGCTAGGTTGGCAGGAGCAGGGAGCGAGCAACGGGAGCTCACCCACCGCCGACCTTCTGATCAGCAAGCCCTAGGCTCTGTGGTTTAACCCACAGCGCCACCCGCTGTGGTCAGTGGGTCAGCCCTAGCCAACCCTAAAACATCACATTTTCTCAGAGAGCAGGCCCTTCACCCAGAAAGCCACCCCCCAATCTCCAGCATCCATGAGGAGCCTTCAGATTCAGGCAACCCAGGCCTAGAGGCCTCAACACCAGTTGCTCTTTTACAAGCCCCCACCACCAAGGTCATAATAAAAGGGGGCAGCAAACCCAAAAGAAGCGACAGGGTTCCACTGCCCAGCTACCAACAGACTCACAGAAGTGTAGATTTGGAAGGGACCTCAAGAAATCATCTAGTCCAACCCCCTAAAATGCAGGAATCCTGCCTACAGCCATGCCTGAGTGGGCTCGAACCACCCACCTTCTGGTTAACAGCCGGACACACTGACTCATCGCACCACCTGAGATTTGTGCTTGGGAAATGTGAGACTTACTTGGGAAAAGTGCGAGATTATGTCTCAGCACCTGTGCAGATCCGAAGCCTGGATGAAGCTTGGGAAAGGACAGAGCCTCCAGCTCCTAAGCAAAGGGCCTAATAATAATAAATAATAATAATATTTTTTTATTTATACCCCACCCTTCCCAGTTCAAACACCGGGCTCAGGGCGGCTAACAACAAATTGAAAACACTTAATTGTAAAATCAGCATAAAATACAATATAAAAACATGAATAACAATAAAATTCAAAATTCAGAGATCAATTTAGGGGAAATAAGCAATTAGATAATCCCCAGGGCTAGCTGGCTGAATTGGTCCTACTTGGGCCAGTGAGGAGGCCAGGGGAGAATTAGCTGTGGGGTCTCAGAGCGGGTAATCTTCATAAAAGGGGAGAGGGAGGGAAGGGAAATAAAAGATCAGGCTGAATTCAGGCTAAGTGATTTGAGAAGTCCCCTTTTCGGTTGGGAAATAAAGTCAGGCCTCCATGCAGAGTGGATGGGGTGTATTTGCTGTTTCCTAGAGATGTTTGCTGCCGTTGGGAGGATGGGCTGTTCTTTAGCAGTGCCCACTGCTTGTGGCGGGTGGTGGGACGCGGGTGGTGCTGTGGGTTAAACGACAGAGCCTAGGACTTGCCAATCAGAAGCTCGGCAGTTCGAATCCCCAAGATGGGGTGAGCTCCCGTTGCTCGGTCCCTGCTCCTGCCAACCTAGCAGTTTGAAAGCACGTCAAAGTGCAAGTAGATAAACAGGTACCGCTCCGGCGGGAAGGTAAACGGCATTTCCGTGCGCTGCTCTGGTTCGCCAGAAGCGGCTTAGTCATGCTGGCCACATGACCCGGAAGCTGTACGCCGGCTCCCTCGGCCAATAAAGCGAGATGAGTGCCGCAATCCCAGAGTTGGTCATGACTGGACCATGGGTCCCTTTACCTTTACAGTGGTGCCTCGCAAGATTCTCTTCGTCTAGCGGTTTTTTCGTCTTGCGAAGCAACCCTATTAGCGGCTAAGCGGATTAGCGCTATTAGCGGTTTAGCGGCTATTAAAGGCTTAGCGGCTTAGCTGCTAAAAGGCTATTAGCGGCTTAGAAAAAAGGGGGGAAAGCGGGGGGGGATCGCAAGACTAGCAAGACGTTTTGTCTTGCGAAGCAAGCCCATAGGGAAAATTGTCTTGCGAAGCAACTCAAAAACGGAAAACCCTTTCGTCTAGCGGGTTTTCCGTCTTGCGAGGCATTCGTCTTGCAGGGCACCACTGTACTTCTTGTGGCAGGGAATGGCCCTGACTTCGTAGAAGAGCTTTACACAAGAATGGTCTCAGGTTCAACGCCTGGAATCTCCAGATAGGGAGGGGAGAAACTCTTGCCTGGAATCCTGGAGTGGCTGCCAGCCAGTGTAGACAATACTGAGGGAGATGGAGCAGTGGCCTGACTCAACCTGACGCAGGTTCCTTTGCTGATTCACTCCTTGCTCCAATCCTTAAGCAACGGCAGATGCCGAAGCACTAATAGGTATAAATGAGTAGACTCCGTTTTGTAGGAGGGAGCTTTGACCAGAGCCTTTTTCCATAATGGAAGATAATTGCCTTTTCTTTTCACACTCAGCTCTTCCATTTTCCTGACACTGCTAATATGACAAGCAACCTGGAGCCTTTTATGAACATTTTTTCTTATCCCCCCCCCAATTTTTTTATTTACATATACATTTACACAATACACATACATAACACACTACCTTATTTTCATAACATAAAACATACCTACATTACTCTATATAATACCTACCTATACTGTACATATCAACATACCTACACACCTACCCTACACGGACACCCACCAGGTGACTTGACCTCCAGCCGTTCTTGTTACGCTACTTTATTTTTCCATCTAACTTAAACACGTTTCACTATTTCTTTAATCTCTTCTATCTTGACTTTACTCCCCTTTCACTCTAATCATTTTCTGGATTCACTCAATATCTGTCAGAAATTCTAGTTTTCCCACATAAATTTTGATGCATTCCTTAAAGATAGCCCATTCCTTATTCACTTTTTGTACCATATCTCCTCTTATCCTCCCTGTTATTTCGGCAATGTGGAAGTATTCCATCATTTTAGATAAGCAGTCTGTTTTGAACATTTTTTCTTAAATTCTTGGTACCTCTGAACTGCTTCATGACACCCTCCAGAAAGGGATTTATATCGCCGAAGTCCCAGATCCTCCACTTCAGGGCAGGAGGAAAAGCAATAGGGGGATCTTCAAACTTCTCCTGATACCTAGGGGAGAAGAACAAGGTCAACTCACCATCCCTCTAATGCAATGAGCTTTCTGAAAAGCCAGGTGCCTCATCTTGATGTCAGCAAATCTCCACATCATGGTGAGCTGAGATCAGGGTTTTCAGCACATGATGAAAAGCAGCGGGAAGGTGGCTTGCAGATCTACAGTGGAACCTTGGTTTCCGAACATAATCCGTTCTGGGAGTCTGTTTGACTCCTGAAACAGTTCAGGAACCAAGGCGTGGCTTCCGATTGGCTGCAGGAGCTTCCTACACCCAATCAGAAGCTGCACCAGACGTTTGGCTTCCAAAAAACGTTTGAAAACCGGAACAGACACTTTCAGTTTTTGACCATTTGGGAGCCGAGGTTTCGCTGTACAGTGGTACTTCGGGTTAATTACTTAATTCGTTCCGGAGGTCCGTTCTTAACCTGAAACTGTTCTTAACCTGAAGCACCACTTTAGCTAATGGGGCCTCCTGCTGCCGGACAGAACGATTTCTGTTCTCATCCTGAAGCAAAGTTCTTAACCTGAAGCACTATTTCTGGGTTAGCGGAGTCTGTAACCTGAAGCGTATGTAACCTGAAACGTATGTAACCCGAAGTACCACCGTAGTGCACAAATTATGATGCAGCCCAAAGGCAAGAACTTATTATATATAGAAGCAAAAGGATTATGCTACAATGTAAAAATAGATGTTATTTCATTTTCTGGAAATGAATGAAACATAGGGTCTTTAGACACATAGGACTAGAACCATTTAACTTGAGCCATTTTAAAAGAGAGAACGGGGGGAAATATCAGTTTTCCCACAAGTGCAGTGAGTTTCCCGAACAACCTGAAGTGCTTTTTGTTTGCTTACCTCCACAAGAAGCTTCCAATGTCCTGGAAGGAAAGAAGAGATTGAATTCAGTGGAGGCAATTCAGAGCGACAGAAGGAGGGAGAGAAAGACAGGGTGGGAAAAGAGAGGATTATTCTCTCAATACTTTTACACTGATTATGAGCTGGCCCAGGAAGACGGACCCTTCTGCTTTTTCATTAACCTCTAAACATCAACCTTAAAGGTGAGAAGGATGGCAAGTGATGGAAAGTCCATCCCACCTGTGAACTGGCAAGCAAGGGCCCTCGGACTCAGCATCCCACAACCAGTTAATTAGGAAGCTCAGAAGCAAGACCACGCCTGACCTGCAGGAGTTCACTCGCTGGTTCCTGGAGCTTCTCCTCCACCTCCTGGATGAGGCTTTCAAGAGAGGAGAGTTCCCCGGAGAGTCTGGCCAGCTGCTCCTCCCTTTTCTTGGCGATCTCCTTCTCCACCTCTGCCATCTGGAACAGAAGACGCTTTTCTTGTTCTTCCAAAAACCGGCGTAGACGTCTGAACTCAGCCACTGTCTTTTCCATCTCTGCTTCCACTTGATTCTGCAACAAGTAGGCAGAAAAATAAGGACAGCTTGTCAACAGCGGGACTGAATATAGCCTGACTTTGGAGCCTCAGGTCAGGTAAGAGAATTCCCTTAAAAGGGCTCTTTTGACATTTCGGAGACATCACACCAATGCTCACAAAACCTTGAATACACCCACCCAGCACTTTGGAATGCTCTTTTGTGAACTTTTTTTGGGTGGGAGTTCTGGCCACTCCAAATACCGTGGTACCTCGGGTTAAGTACTTAATACGTTCCGGAGGTCCGTACTTAACCTGAAACTGTTCTTAACCTGAAGCAGCACTTTAGCTAATGGGGCCTCCCGTTGCCGCCGCCGGAGCACAATTTCTGTTCTCATCCTGAAGCAAAGTTCTTAACCTGAAGCACTATTTCTGGGTTAGCAGAGTCTGTAACCTGAAGCGTATGTAACCTGAAGCGTATGTAACCCGAGGTACCACTGTAGTAGAAAAACATATATTTCTGCATTTCATTTTTCCAGATATTGATTCTTGGTTACAGGTCTGTTATAGAACTGGTGGTGGTTTGGGTGAGATCTCATAATTTGTTGGAAGCCATCCAGAGTGGATGGGGCAACCCAGATTATCGGTGTGTGTGTGTGCTGTCCTCTTCCATGTCTACGTTTTTATAACATAAGATGGGGGTCTGTAGTAGAAGGAACTCTTGAAGTGATTAGTCTGGTGTCTGTATAGTTAATAGCCCCAGCACAGCCTGTTAAGCATTCTTTTTACATATTTAAGGAGTTAGTGAAGCACAGGTACCATGCTACCATGGAAACAACTAGCTAGTGCAGGTGGGAAGTCAGGAGATGTCTGCCTTGCTTTCTGTGCTGAAACTAAAGCTACGAATCTGGGGTCCCCTTTGAAACTTAAGAGGGGAGCAAGATCCATTGGTGCTGTGACCATGAGCCCTTCTATCTTATGCTCAGCCTAAAGGTAAAGGTAAAGGGACCCCTGACCGTTAGGTCCAGTCGCGGATGACTCTGGAGTTGCGGCGCTCATCTCGCTTTATTGGCCGAGGGAGGCGGCGTACAGCTTCCGGGTCATGTGGCCAGCATGACTAAACCGCTTCTGGCGACCCAGAGCAGCGCACGGAAACGCCGTCTACCTTCCCGCCGGAGCGGTACCTATTTATCTACTTGAACTTTGAGGTGCTTTCGAACTGCTAGGTTGGCAGGAGCTGGGACTGAGCAACGGGAGTTCACCCCGTCGCGGGGATGCGAACCACCGACCTTCTGATCGGCAAGCCCTAGGCTCTGTGGTTTAACCCACAGCGCCACCCGCATCCCATTATGCTCAGCTTGTAACAATACTTTTCGGTTTCCCAGGGATGTTGACACTTACAAGCAGGTCTTGGCTTTCCTCTTCAGCGTCCATTTTAAATGCCATGATCTTCTCCCTCTCCTTCCTCAGATGGCCTAAGCACCTACAGATCTGGTTCTGAAGAGAAAACAAAATCACAGTCTGGTTCTATTTTCTTTTTCTGCTGAGTTTTAGGATGCATGCAAGAGGGAAGTTGAACAATACAGCTGTCCTGCGCTCCAGGGTCTTTTGTGGAGATTCCCAGGCTGGCTTATTTATCCCAGTGGATTGAATAAGACAAACAGATCCAATATGGGTTTAACATAACTCCCTCCAGCCCCTTGAGAGACTGCATCAGACCAACTCAAGCTCCAGGTTTTGAAGAGCTGTTCGACATTAATAATAATAATAATAATAATAATAATAATAATTATTATTATTATTATTATTATTATTATTTGTATCCCGCTCTCCCCAGCCAAAGCCAGGCTCAGAGCGGCTAACTTCATATAAATAAGACAATATGAATAATACAATATACAATATAAAAATAAAATAACATTCAACATTCAACATTCATTAAAATAATATAGAATAATATTAAATATCAACATTTCAAAATTAAACAGAAATCCACTCAACAATTACAATAAGTAATTTCTAAGCTCCAATCAATAAAACAACAACAAACCACAGTGCACAACATAATACAATCATAGGCGCCGACTCCATGGGGCTTGAGGGGGCTGGAGCCCCCTCAAAAATTTTTTTGGGGGGGCTCAGCCCCCCCAATAATCTCGGGCGGGCGCCCTTCCAGCAGAGCGCCGCCGCCGTCCCCCGCCTCCTCCCCACCTGCTCCTTCGCCAGCCAGCCAGCCGCGCGCCCTAATCGGAGAGCCCCGGCCGGAAATCCCGCGAGAACAGGAGAATCCCGACTGGCCACACCTCCCAGCCAGCCAATCGGCTGGCTGGGGGGGCGTGGCTTGCCCTATTTAGGGCCGGAGCCACTTTATTTGCATATTCATGAGCTTATTTATTATTCATGAGCTTTCCCGGGCCCCCCCAATATTTTTTCTAAGTCCGCGTCCCTGAATACAATACAAAATAAGAAGCAGAGACTGGAGGGTGGAGCAAGGCAAGTGGAAGGAGGCCTTGCCTGATGGAGTCTCTCCCCTCACACTTCTTCCTCCAGGCATAGCTTCCTTATGAAGAATCCCAGGGCCAGGGGGTGGGGCAAGGCAGGTGGGAGGAGGCCTTGCCTGATGGAGTCTCTCCCCTCAGAGCAGAGAATAATAATATAATAATAATTTATTATTTATACCCCGCCCATCGGGCTGGGTTTCCCCAGCCACTCTGGGCGGCTTCCAACAAAACACTAAAATACAATAAATACTATAACCTGTGTGTGTTTGTGTTTTTTTTTGGGGGGGTCTTCCTCCTTGGAGGAAAGCAGAGACATTTACAAATTGAATCATAATAGATTATAAACATTTCCCACAATTTTTGCTCTCTCATGTCACCCAGCCGTGCCCTGCCCTCCTCCATCAAGACCCATTGCCGTTCCCTACCATGTACTCCTGGGACGCCTCCTCTAGAGGGATCACCTCGTGGCTTTTGTGCTCCTTGGATCTTTCACACACCAGACAGATGGGGCTTTCGTCCTCCTTGCAGAAGAGCTTCAGGGGCTCCTGGTGCTTCTCGCAGACTCTTTCCATTCCCTCCGCCCGCTTTCTTCCACAGAAATCCCCACGGAGCATCTTGGCTTTTTCTGCAACATTTGCCAGCGACCGATTGGGGATGAGGTTCCTCTGCTGAACTGTTTTCCTGCACTCGGGGCAGGAAGCCTCTCCTTCGGATTTCCCCCAATACTGGATCAGGCAGGCTCGGCAGAAGTTGTGCCCGCACTCCGGGATGATCACTGGATCCTTGAAATACTCCAGGCAGATGGAGCAAGTGGCTTCCTCGAAGAGATCTTGCACAGGACCCCCAGAAGCAGCCATGGCTGCAGCTTCGCCTGGAAGAAAGTTGCTTTCGCTTTCTTTCTTGTCTGCCAGCAGCAGGGCGTGTTTCCTTTGCAGGAAGGAGGTGACGCAAGATCTCCCCTGAGTCTCTAACAATGGTTTTTTTTAAAAAAAACAACAACAGGGAAATCGTTCGTGGCTGGCTGTTCATTTAGGCAGGCATTTTCCGATGACAGCTGGAGACAAGTGAATTTTTTGTATTGTTATGAACTTCACAACATCCTCAAATCGCACTGAAAGTCAGTGAATCAATCTGAGCCTCTTAAGCTCCTCCCATCTGTATGCTCCGCGCGCGCGCGCGCGCGCGCACACACACACACACACGGAGAGAGTATACATTCAAAGCAGCATAATTAGCAGGCAACTAAAATTATCATCTTAAAGATGTCAAAAGAAAACATTGCAAAGGTCGATTACAGAGCGTATTTAATGCAGCAGTTAACGCAAAAATTAAACATTTCAAAAGAAAGCATTACTAAAGGAAGTCAAATATGAAATGCACATTTAAAGCAGCATGATTAGCAATAAAATAACATAAATAAAATAAAATAAAATATTACTCTAGAACATACCTGCCGCTGTTGCTGCCAATCCTGCCCATAGGGGTTCCTGGCAGACAGTGGCTGTGGAAACTCAGGCTAAACAACCTGAGACTGTGCTAAGAGACATCCAAGATCCCTGCCCTTTCTTGTAGAGTTGGGAGGGATCCTGAGGGTCATCCAGTCCAACCCCCTGCAGGGCAGGAATGTCAACTAAAGCATCCAGGACTCTCGGGCCAGGTGGGAAAAGGCCTGCAAGACAGGGAACAGCTTGCGCTAGCAAGTTCCTTTACTTAGCAGAGTGCATTCCCTTTTACGCAGCAGAAAACTAGTTGCAAACTCGTGTGAGTTTCTTAAGACAATACGCAATTCAATCTGGCTTGTCCAGTTTGAAATATGTTCTAATATTTTCCTGGTAAGACCCCTTGTAAAGGTAAAGGGACCCCTAACCATTAGGTCCGGTCGTGGCCGACTCTGGGGTTGCGGCGCTCATCTCGCTTTATTGGCTGAGGGAGCCAGCGTACAGCTTCCGGGTCATGTGGTCAGCACGACTAAGCCGCTTCTGGCAAACCAGAGCAGCGCATGGAAACGCCGTTTACCTTTCCACCGGAGCGGTATCTATTTATCTACTTGCACTTTTAGGTGTTTTCGAACTGCTGGGTTGGCAGGAGCAGGGACAGAGCAACAGGAGCTCATCCCGTCGCGGGGATTCGAACTGCCGACCTTCTGATCAGCAAGCCCTAGGCTCTGTGGTTTAACCCACAGTGCCACCCGCATCCCAAAGACCCCTTGAATTCCCTCCTAAAAGAATAAAGGCACCACAGTCTTATTCATAAGCAATAAAAAGAAAGTTTACTCACGATCAGGCAGAGCACAGTGTGATATCTGAAGGCAGGCTTTAGGCTTAAAGTTACAAACATGAAGAAACAGGTTTACCCCATATGTGGATTGACTACTGTTAGCAGTCCGGGAAGTTTGCAGGACAAAAGGAAGATGGAAAAGAGGGAGAGTGGCAGCATGCCTTGTCCTTTTACCAGGTCTGGAAAGGTCACTAGTCACATGCAAGGAAGGATGCTTCAGGCCAGGAGGAACAGGAAGTTTGGACTGGCTGGACCAAACATTCCCTTGCATGTCCACTCTAGCAAAACAAGGAATGTTGTACTTGACTGCTCTCAGTGGATTACACCCCACACATCTTGATGAGCTCCTCTTACGTTCTTATGACACCAAATGCTTTCCACTTGCGTTAAAACACTGCTCATAGTTTGTTTATTCAGTAGTGATAGAATCATGGAGGTGGAAGGAACATCAGCAGTCATCTTTAATGGGTTATGGATGATGTATACCCTGTCAGGAGTTCATCCTACTCTCTAGTAGGACCCTGGCAGAGACACATGCCCGACTGGCATGTTCCCTCCCTCCTGGTCGACCGTTCGGGAGCTTCAAAAGCTTTCTTCTGCCCGAACATCACAGCAACCGATGCCAACAAACATCGGTACACTTAGGGATCCGCAGAGTCTTCACAGCTTGCGTAACAGACATCAGCAACTCAGCATTTTGGCTAATCTACTTTATTTACATATAGGAGCACTGCAACATGGCTCCCTCTCTCTCTCTAGCATCGGGCAGCAAAGAGAAAAAGAACGAAGGACAATAGTCCCCCTTCACGGAACACAGTAACACAAACATCCTGTCTCCGTCACTCCGCACTCTGTGGAGTCAAAACATACACCATCATGTGATAGACAAAAATCCCATGACTGCAATCACGGAGCAGGAATTCTAACTCCCCCCCCCCCTGGCAAAATAAAATAAAGTAAGTATTGCTCTTCTCTACCTCTTCATAGAGAACAGCTAGTTTGGGAAAGGTGGTTGGCCAAAGTTGAGGTAATACAAATCCCATTTAGGGACTCAAAGCCCCTCTCCTCATACTTCCTGTCAAGTGGGAAGGTCTGAGGGATGTGTGGCACATTAAATTAAGGCTTCTCTCCATGCCAGCCAACGCTGCCTCATCGGCATTCCTGATAGCAAGGGATTGGGGGGTTTCTGCGAAGCCTGGGTAAGTCAACACCTCTCTGCTGAGCCTGTCCTACTTCACAGGGTTGCTGTGAGGATTACATAGGATATCATACCTTGGCTACGTCACTGCAGTTCCTGGAGGCAGGATTATGTGGTGTATGAGGCTGTTACACTTTTCTTTTTTTATATTCTTATTAAAGATTTCTTAGTGTACAGGAACACGTGCGTTGTCTCATTTTTCAGGTTGTGTTTTCTACAATTCTGTTTCATTTATTGTGAGACAAGTTTTACCTTGTTGCCTCTAGCTGGGCAATCACGTGCAGCTGCTTCACTACCAGTTGGGTCAGGAGAGGCTGAGGTGGCCTCTGGGTCTAGTAACCCACCGACATCTTCCGAGCTGCAGAGACTCAGGTCTGAGAGAAGGAGAGACCTGAGTACTCGCAGGAGGAGTGCTCGCCTTTGGGTGAGACAGGGAGGTGAGTCACCGGGGGATCAGGACTGGCCGCTACCATGTCAAAGATAAAAGGCTGCCATACCCTGCCCCGGGTTGTGGGAGCAACATTGCTGCTTGCTGGAACCTGCCTGTTACCCTGTGCCTGACCTAGCCTGGTTTCCTGCCTTGGCCCTGTTGGACTGACTCCTCATGGAAGCCTTGGATTTGGGACCGGACCTGGACCGTGTTACTTGGGTTAACCCAAGCACAGACAGAGACCAGACCAGAATAATTAAAGCAAAGCGGCTGTAAACCTGATCTTTTATTAAAAGAATGACTGTTGGCAACAGGGTTCCCACTCACGTATCAGGCGATGGAGGAGAATTCAGAACAAAAGAAAACTCTTACATTTATACCTTTGATTTTCAATACAGAACCAATGAGAAGTTAGAAAAAAACAGAAGACTTCAGACGAGGCGCTAAGTAAGCTGCCAGCTACCGTATTTTTCGTTCCACAAGGCACACTTTTTTCCTCCTAAAAAGTAAGGGGAAATGTCTGTGCGTCTTATGGAGTGAAAAAAACGGTAATTTATTTGCTCCCCAATGCGTGCATTGGTGAAGGGGAACCCATGCCTTTGGCATGATTAGGCGGCCATTTTTACATAGTACGGATATGTGACAAATTTGGCAATATGTATGCAAATAAATGAAGTATATTGTTACAGCAGTAAGACAGCAGTAAGTTGAGCTTTTAGAGTCAACGATGCAACGAAAGAGAATGTAATGGACGAGCAGAAGGGGAACATAGTCTAGGTACATTTGATATAGTACATTGTGAACCAAATCATATCAGTGTAGCATGTAAGGACACATACACTCAAGGGTACAGTAAAATGGTGAGTAAGCATCAGTGTAGCAAATGAGGATACAAAGGATTCTGGCACATTAATATTCTTATAACGGGGAATGGTGAGTGTGGTGGCAATGCTTCTATTCTTCTACTTAGTGTATGTGTGGGGTTTTGCGTCAGTGTTACTTGTGTGGGTTCTCTTACGATTCGCTCGTTGTGTTTCCTTGGTATTGAGAGGCTGTTACGATTTTTGAGGTGCCAATGACAAAAGAGCAACAGGAAGCAAAATCTTTGATAAAAGAAGAAGAGGAGTTTGGATTTGATATCCCGCTTTATCACTACCTGAACGAGTCTCAAAGCGGCTAACAATCTCCTTTCCCTTCCTCCCCCACAACAAACAATCTGTGATTTGAGTGGGGCTGAGAGACTTCAGAGAAGTGTGACTGGCCCAAGGTCACCCAGCAGCTGCATGTGGAGGAGCGGAGATGCGAACCCGGTTCACCAGATTACGAGTCTATCGCTCTTAACCACTACACCATACTGGGGTTAACACACAAAAACCCCAAATATGTCCAGACACACAAAAGTACAAGCAGAGGTGCTCTCTAAAAAATCTATAGATGGATCTGCCCAACTGTTAGCTGCAGATTATTTCAATGGAAATAATTGTATACATAGAAATGTACCACCATCCCCTAGAGTTCCTTAGATCAGCACCATCCTGGCTTCCAGCATCACCTACAAGCTAAACGTGACCATCTTGGGAAGGTTAGAGAAAGACCTAGGCGGACACAGGAATTTCTTTCTTACATCTGAGTTTCATAACCAACCCAGGCCACAGACTCTGACTGAAGCATGGGACAGGGTCTACAGGCTTTCTGACAGTGCTTCCTAGACACCTGGCCTGAGCAGGACAAGCGGTGAAAGAGCCAGCCAGCCACTGTTCTACAAATATGGCTTCTCCTCAGGGAGAAAGTAACCTCTGAGCTCATTCCTGGGAAGGAAGCAGCATGCGTGTGGCGACAGCGCGGGGTTCCTCTATCTTGTCTGCCTCCACCCTTAGGCAGGCAGGTTTAGATGGCCCTTACTGAACACAGAAAACAAGGGCTGGAGGGTCTCTCCTGAGAAGGAGGCTGCTGAGAACGTGCAGAGGCGGGCTGCTCTATCGGCATCGTAAAAGGCCATCCGCCTCCCTTCACAGTTCAGGGTCACTCGGATCCTCCTGGGCTCGCAACTCAGGGGCAAAACAGTCCGTGAACCAAGACAGGCAGCCCTGTATGCGCCTCCCCACTTCCCCAGATCCCAGACTCCTTCTTCGGGACCAGCAGTGATCACCTGCTTCCTCTGGACAGAACTTTTGGCAACCCCCACAGCCCACCCCTCATCGCTCCCCACGGTGACTTCCCAGAAATGCCTGCCTGCTGTGAACCCCTCACGACCCAGCACGTAATAATAGTTGTTAAATCTCTCAGGTCTGTCAGGCAGAACTTGACGTTCTCCTCCTCGCCTCACACTCTTACGATCCTCAGACAAGAGGAGCCAGGGATTTGCTGTGTTGGGATCCAAAGTTACATTTTCTGTGGGGGCAGATGAGGAAAGAGAAGATGAACAAGGTCAGCTGGGAGACTTGACTTTTGTCTAGGCACGTAACAGGGAAAACAACGCCCTGTGAAACCAACAGGACCTCATCCAGGACTGGGATGCATCCTTTGATTTATAATACAGATAATAATAATAATAATAATAATAATAATAATAATAATAATAATAATTTATTATTTTACCCCGCCCATCTGGTTGGGTTTCCCCAGCCACTCTGGGAGGCTTCCAACAAAACACTAAAATACAATAACCTATTAAACATTACAAGCTTCCCTAAACAGGGCTGCCTTCAGATGTCTTCTAAAAGTCTGGTAGTTGTTGTTCTCTTTGACATCTGGTGGGAGGGTGGGTGCCACTACCGAGAAGACCCTCTGCCTGGTTCCCTGTAACTTGGCTTCTCGCAGCGAGGGAACCGCCAGAAGGCCCTTGGCGCTGGACCTCAGTGTCCGGGCAGAACAATGGGAGTGGAGATGCTCCTTCAGGTATTCACATGTGTGCTTTCAAGTGTTTAAAGCATCACACATGCATTATATAATTATAATGTTTACAGCAACTCTGTAAGGCAAATCAGAATTATTATTATCCCCATATTTCAGAGTGGCTTGTCTAAAGGCCAACCAGTGATCCATAGCTAAAACATTTAGCCAAGATTTCAACAAAGACCAGGCCAATAAATGACTTTTATTAAGTGACATGTCTGTGACTTTAACATTATTAAATACTGAACGATTGTTTTCTCAGTAATAGTAGCCCAGTGCATTCCAACATTTCTCCGATGAAATTAGGGACGTCCCATTATTTAAAGATGATTTTACTATTTATACCCCACACATCTTATTGGGTTGCCCCAGCTATGCTGGGAAGCTTCCAACATACATAAAAACATAACAAAACATTAAACATTTTTAAAAATCTTCCCTATGCAGGATTGCCTTCAGACGGCTCAGGGTTTGGATAACTCCATACCCTCCAACATTTCTCCAGTGAAAATAGGGAGGTCCTAAGGAAAAGCGGGACATTCCGGGATCAAATCAGAAATTGGGATGGATTCTCAAAATCATAGATGGCCCTGGAAAATAGGGACACTTGGAGGGTCTGTCCATGTTGTATAGTTTTAAGTACTAGTTGAAAAGATGTCCTTCTACAGTGGTACCTCAGGTTAAGTACTTAATTCGTTCTGGAGGTCCGTTCTTAACCTGAAACTGTTCTTAACTAGAAGCACCACTTTAGCTAATGGGGCCTCCTGCTGCCGCCGCGCCACCGGAACACAATTTCTGTTCTCATCCTGAAGCAAAGTTCTTAACCTGAGGTACTATTTCTGGGTTGGCGGAGTCTGTAACCTGAAGCATATGTAACCTGAAGCGTATGTAACCCGAGGTACCACTGTATTTGGTTTTCTGATGCCTGGACTACGGGCTGGTTAGCTCTCCCTTCACAGGCCTAATTGGCACAGTATCATTTTGGTCGGAGAGATTCCTGGCTAAATGGCTAAAATTATTGGGAAGGTCCAGAAATGGGGGCATGAGTCCCTCCACCCCACACACTTAGTTAAGGATATCATCTAGGTATCTCTCCATGAAGAAAAACTGAAGTTTGAGGCAGAGGCAGACATACAATGCTCTGAGTTTGGGTTCTGCATGCTTACAGCATTTCATGCTGTTGACTGCCTCTTGCTGGAGATCGGATGTGGGGCAGCGGACTTCCCTGCTTGTGTTTAAGCCGTGCGCCAACACCCATGTTCAACCTGTCTGTATTGCCTCCTTGAGCAACTTGGAAATTATCACTGCCCACAGAAGAGAGTGAATGTGAAATCTCAGGTAAATGTTATAGCTCATTGGAAGCGGCAGAAACATGTATGGCAGACATAGAAAGTGCTAGCCAGGGAGAACTGACATGGACAGAGTAGGCCCAATGGCCTGGTCACTTGGAGAAAAAAGCCCATCTCTCCCAGGAATTGTGCTTCCAGCAGACCCTGAAATGACATACCTTTTCTCAGCTGAAGTCCTGATCCCAGAGAGTCTAGACAAGAAAAGGGAGCAGAGACTTAGCGCCACACCAGTGTCCCTATAACAATCTGGTAACAACAATACGAACTCATTGTTAGTATCTTGGCTCACAGTCAGAGGTACCTGGCCTCCCCCGAGGCAATTGAGCGAGATACTGTGTTTACCATCCGTCTGCGACGTCCCGGCAGGCTAGGTAAACAAACCGGCGATTCTTCTCATTAGACGTGAGATAGAACACACCCTCTGCTTCTCTGCTTCTCTCTCCCTCCCTGCATTCTCCCAGGGAGGGGAGGGGAAATGAGACAGACAGGAGTCCCTTTTACATGTTTTATTCCTGTCACTCAGCAGTACATAGAAAAGTAAGTGCTCCCTTCAGACTCCATCAGAAGAGACAACACACTCCTCCCCTGTACTTCCAGCACAGGTCAGATGACACACTGAGCTAACATCCGGTGCTCAGTACAGAGAATAGGCTCCACCTTTTCTCCAACAGTACATCTGCAAAACACAACATCCTGTTTTGCATTCCAGCCATCTGGAGCTGGCTTTTGCCTTGGTGCTTTTTCCTGACACTCATAACATTATATCAGAGGTCAGGCAACCAGAGGTGTCCTCCAGACTACAAGTCCCATAATCCTTAAGCACTGGCCATGCTGGCTGAGGCTGATGGGAGTTGTTGCCAAAAGCATCTGGAAGCCACCATGTTGGCTTTCACACCACTACAGCTTGGATAAGTAGGGGGGATGTATTAGTGTCAATGTCCAGAATAAGGACATGGTGTCTCCTTAGAGAAAAACTGCCTCCCATCCAACAGATCTTTCCATCACCAGCAGCCTTGAGGAGCTGTCAGATCCAGACACCCCTGCCCCAGGATCAGAGATCTCACTTGCCAGAGTTACTGACTGGATCTTGGATACCTCCTGCCCCCCTCTTGGGTGCCCAGGAATTGAATAGACTGCAGCCCAGGCATGAGCTTTGGGGCCCTCCAGCTCTTGGCTAGCAGTATGAGAGGCTGTGAGGTGTATTAAAGCACCTGCGTGAATCAAGGCCTGTTTGAGAGACGGGAAGGGGTGAATAGAAGTTCTTGGTCAGAGCAGCTTCATTGCTGAAACAGCCACTCCAAGCGAGCTCAGCCTTCCTGAACCAGGGGAATGAACTGCAAGTCAGTGTAGACAATACTGAAGCAGATGGAACAATGTTTTCTGACAGTGCAAGGCTTGCACTGTTCAGCAATGCTGGGTAGTTTGTAGTTTGCAGGTTGATCACTCCCCTTTTCATGATGAAATAAAATTGCTGCTTTTTCAGCTGGCCGCCCCATCTTCCATCTTCCTGGCCCAGCTAATATTACAAGTGACCTGGAGCTTTCCACGAACATATATTTTTTTAATGCCCACTATAAAACCATTGAAGCCATTCTTAGTACCTCTGAACTGCTTCATGACACCTTCCAGAAAGGGATTTATATCACAGAAATCCCAGATCTTCCACTTCAGTGCAGAGGGGAAAGGCGCAGGAAGGTTCTCCAACTTCTCCTTTGCTTGAGACCTGATGGAGAAGAACAACATCAACCACCTTCCTTCCAATCAGGGCCAGCCCACCCATGAGGCAAAGTGAGGCGACTGCCTCAGGTGGGAGAATCCACAGGGGTAGCATTTCTCAATGTTGATCTTCCTTCTGCTCTTGTTCCTGATGTCACCCCTTTTTTCTTGGCAAAGAGGAGGGTGCTGTGTTTTGGTTCGCCTCAGGCAACAAAACATATTGGGCCACCTCTGCTTCCAAGGCAGTGAGAGATTTTAGGATTAGGCCCATTTAAAATTAATCATTTAAAAAGAGAAAAATAGTGTGTGTGTTTATATATATGCACAGCCCTGAGTGCTCACTGGAAGGACAGATCCTGAAGCTGAGGCTCCAATATTTTGGCCACCTCATGAGAAGAGAAGACTCCCTGGAAAAGACCTTGATGTTGGGAAAGATGGAGGGCACAAGGAGAAGTGGACGAAAGAGGACGAGATGGTTGGACAGTGTTCTCGAAGCTACCAGCATGAGTTTGACCAAACTTCGGGAGGCAGTGGAAGACAGGAGTGCCTGGTGTGCTCTGGTCGATGGGGTCACGAAGAGTCGGACACGACTAAATGACTAAACAACAAATGCACAGACTATATGAGGGTAAGGAAGGCTTACCCAGTGAAAACTTGCCCTCTCTTTTAAGACATTATTATGATATTTTAAAATGAAATAATACTTGTAAATCATGTGGCGTACAGTATTTCCATAATTAATGGTATGGGTGACTGGGTATTTCATCATCATAAAACGTGATTGCATATTTTGTAGATGAGAAAGAGGTTGCAGGAGTCTGAAACATGTTGTATAGTTGAAGATTAATTTCTCTAAGGTAATATTTAAAAATTAATTACCCTAATATTTAAATATTAATTACTCTCAATAGTGAGAGGATCATTTTCTTTTATTTTCTGCTTACCTCTGTAAGAAGCTTCCAATATCCTAGAGGGAAAGAAAGAAGTCATTTGGGTCACTTCTCTGCAGAATGCTATGTGGGTCTGAATGAAGGAGGGAGGGAGAGAGAGACAGAGAGACAGAGAGGCGTATCTATCTTTTGGCAAAACACAAAGCAAAACACTCCCCTCTAAAACACGCAGAGAAACTTGATTCTAATTGAGTCAAACTGAGGCATACGCAATATCAAAGAACCACAGATTCAAGATTGTAATGGAAACAAATAATTTCATTGATACAGAATGCTTTGTTCAAGCCCTAGTGCTCACTTTTTCTGAATATTTGGACTTATCCAAACATCCTCCTCCCCATCTAGTTGCTAAACAGGATGTCTCAGTTCCCTAGAATGACCTAACTTCTAAGTGTCTTGGCGTCCTAGCATTCATGAAATGCAGTTTGTAGTCACCCAGCCAGAGCTATGGGCCATAAAGGACCATGCATGCTGGGCCAAACGACGTCAACATGCCGTGCTTGCATGCCTCGCAACATGCGCGCATGATGTCAGCATGCCCCACAGAATGCTGGTGCTATGCTCACAAGCTAGGGATCATGTTCGCAAGCATTATAAGCAGTCAGTTCCCAAAAGCCTGTTGGAATAAAAGGGTTTTCACCTGGAAGTGACTGGGAGTGGCCACCGAGACCATATAACACCAGTCCTGAAAGGCCTACCTTGGCTCCCAGTACGTTTCCGAGCACAATTCAAAGTGTTGTTGCTGACCTTTAAATCCCTAAACGGCCTCGGTCCAGTATACCTGAAGGAGCGTCTCCACCCCCATCGTTCTACCCGGACACTGAGGTCCAGCGCCGAGGGCCTTCTGGCAGTTCCCTCACTGCAAAAAGTGAGGTTACAGGCAGAGGCGGAGCTAGCTGCTCTGTGCCCGTGGGGGCGGGGCTGGCATACCGGGGGCGCCGCCCACAGCAAGCATCCCGGGGTAGCAGCGCTGTGATGTAACCCCCCCCCCAGGGATGACACCCAGGACGAGCCGCACCCACCACACACCCCATCCTCTGCCACTGATTAAAGGGAACCAGACATAAGGCCTTCTTGGTAGTGGCACCCTCCCTGTGGAACGCCCTCCCATCAGATGTCAAGTAAATAAGTAACTGACTTTTAAAAGACATCTGAAGGCAGCCCTGTTTAGGGAAGTTTTTAATGTTTAACATTATGTTGGCAGCCGCCCAGAGTGGCTGGGGATACCCAGCCAGATGGGGAGGGTGTAAATAATAAATTATTATTATTATTATTATTATTATTATTATTATTATTATTATTACTGGAAGGACAGAAAGGAAGGAGCCAGCCTGGCTTCTCTGGGGAGGGAGTTCTTAAGTCTGCAGCAGCCCCTCATATATGACTGCTCCCCTGTAGAACAACACCAAAGTTCCCGGAAGTTAAAAACCAAGTAGCAGGGAGGAAGTAGCCAAGGTGCGCTACTCAGCTTCTTCTTCTCATCAACATTTTAAAATGTGGGGCAGAATTCAGAAGTGATCTCCCAGCGTCAGAAGGAGGCCTCACCTGCAGTTGTTCATTCGCTGGCTGCCAACGCTTCTCCTCCATCTCCCGGATGAGGCTTTCAAGAGAGGAGAGTTCCCCAGAGAGTCTGGCCAGGTGCTCCTCTCTTTTCTTTGCAATCTCCTTCTCCACTTCTGCCATCTGGGCCAGCAGAGACTTCTCTTGTTCTTCCAGAAACTGGCGCAGTCGTCTGAACTCAACCACCATCTTTCCCTTCTCTGCTTCTATTTGTTTCTGCGATAAGGAAGTGGAAGGAAGAGACAGGAGGACAATATCAGAAATACAGTCTGGCTTTGCAGCGTCCAGAAGTCAGATTTCAGAAGGATCGGCCTAAAAGTAACTTTCTCTCACAACATCTACCTGTTAGAATATCGTCTTCAGTACTGAATAAATGGCAGCAACTGATACCAAAATTTAAATGTCAAAATAACCAGCCGAGACTGAAAGCCAGAGCTATATGTGATACTGAGAGGTTTGCAACTTCCAAATATAACAGATTTGTATTTTTCAGCTGTAATAAATTGAGTTGTAGAATGGATTATGAATGTCTATGAGGAGACAGCTAAACATGAGCCAAATTTGATTGAAGTACCATTAAATAGAATATTATGGGGAACATACAACAGACCATTTTTGCTGAAAAATTGTTTATTTTCTAATTTGGTAAGGTTATGGGACTGATATAAAAGCTTGCTCAGCTCTAAATTTTCTCCCTTGGGATCAATAATAAACATAATAGAATAGGATGTTTCCAAGTTTAAAATGTAGAAAAAATATAATATGCAGAGCTGTCAACTTTTCCCTTTTCTTGTGAGGAATCCTATATGGAATAAGAGAATTCCACTTTAAAAAAGGGAAACGTTGACAGCTATGATAATATGTTTAGCATTTGGGCCTTAATTAGGCAAGGACCACATGATTTCATATTTAGAGATTAAGGGATGGACGGTGGGAAGCAATCCTTTATGGTCTGAATGCTTTTGAATCTGTTCTAAATTGCAAGGCTATATTAAAACTCCTAATCAAGCTGAACAAATGTGAGAAAATTTGGTGAACATTTTGGTAAAAAGTTATCAGTCGTTCTTGATATACAGTACGGACCCAGAAGAATTTTATGGTATAATATCCCAGAACATTGGGGAAATTGGAAGTGTGGGAGAAGTTATTGTTAATTGAATATAGGTTTACTTTGAATTCAGGGATAACAGAAAATTGCTATAAAATAATGAGCAGGTGGTACACCATGCCAGTAAAGATAAACAAAATAAATACAAATTATCCCACCCCTGCCACGTGTTGGAGATGTCATGAAGAAAAAGGAGACCTTTTCCACAAGTGATAGGAAATGTGAAACAGCAAAGAAATAATGGAGTTAAATAAATGTTCATTTAGAAAGAATTATGGGATAAGTCTCTCTCATTTTGAGTGAAGCCACACTCCCCATGGCATCCATTTTGTGAAGAGCGCCCCCAGCGCTCTCACCAAAGTTGAAATGCGCCCACTGGTCCAAAAGGGTTGGCGACCCCCCCCTTTTTTTAAGACAATAGCACTTTTTCACTTCCTAGGAACAGTAACTTACAAGCAGGTCTTGACTTTCTTTTTCCATGTCTGCTTTAAATGCCAGTGTTTTCTCTTTCTTCTTCCTCAGATTGTCTAAGCAGCTGCTGATCTGATCCTGAAGAGAAAACAAAATTCCAGTCTGGCTCCCACTTTTATTTACTAATTGTTTTAGTATACATGGACCAGGCAAGTTGATTGATATGCTTGCACTGTCATTCCAGGGTGTTTTTGCTAAGGTCTCCGAGGTGCCCTCTTTTCCCCACTGTAACACAGAAGTGGGGCGAGGAGGCTACTAGATTCAATATGGGTTCAACACCTCTCGAGATGGGGCAGACAGAGAGCTCCTTCCCATGTCTAGATTATGAATACAGTGGTATCTCAGGTTACATACGCTTCAGGTTACATACGCTTCAGGTTACAGACTCTACTAACCCAGAAATAGTGCTTCAGGTTAAGAACATTGCTTCAGGATGAGAACAGAAATCATGCTCTGGTGGCACAGCGGCAACAGGAGGCCGCATTAGCTAAAGTGGTGCTTCAGGTTAAGAACAGTTTCAGGTTAAGTACATACCTCCGGAACGAATTAAGTACTTAACCTGAGGTACCACTGTAATCATCTCATGTTTGAGCAGAGAAACTTGAGGTTTTCTATTTAACCCACCCCTCCACTTTTGACACATCTCACACAATCCCACAAACTAGGATTTGTCGGGATCTCCACTCGGCCAAGCTGATAAAGCTCATCTTCCTCTGGCCGAGTCCTTCGGAATCGCCTCTGATAGTTAATGATCTGAGCCTTTGATGAGGCCTCAGGCACATTCCCATCCAGCAGAGAATCAAAGCAGCACGTGGAAGTGATGAGATTTATGGTTACATTGCAAAGAGTTTTATTTTCCTAACTACGTAGACAAAAAACACATCCTCTCTCTGTGAGAGAAGAGAGCAACTGAAAACAAAGGAACAGGAAACCAGTAAACATCACATCCGTCTCCTGTTGAGGCATCTAATCATAGCCTGCATTTTTATCAAGGCTTATAGTTTGATTAGGGTCTGTATTTTAAAATGAGCTTAAAGATTTTCAAATGTTTTATGCCAGGCAGAAGACCAGCTGCCTAAGTACTTTGGCAAGATGTTTATCCTCCTGGACAAGGGGGCCCCCTGATTTATAGCAGAAAACAATTCTCAAAGTCGTAAAAAGGGAATTACAGGCAAGGTTACACTGACCCTACATAATTAAGAGTTTGGTAAATAGTAAAATAAAACCATGTGCCTCCATTAAACTTGAGCCATATCTTCCTAAGGTTAAAGGCCAAGAACAAATGGAAAAGAAAGCAACTGGCTGGAGAAGGGGAGTGTAAACAGAAGAGGCTTTTTTCCTATTTTATTTTGAGGCTGTAAACTAGTCCTTCCTTTTACTTTGAGAAGGTTTATTCTTCTAAAAAGCTATCTATGATAATGTATGAAATATACTTGCTTAAATGTAATTATGCAAAGGATCTAGAAAGAAAGAAATGTTAAATTCTTATTTCATAGAGTCATATTGCTGTAGGAGACCAGAGGGGCAAACGAGCCCAGCCCCCTGCCAGACAGGAGACGCCATCGAGCACTCCTGACATATGGTTGTCAGGCCTTTGTTTAAAGACCTCCAAAAAGGAGATCTTTCATTGATGATGCATGAGAATGTGAACCCAAGATCTCTGACATCTGTCTAAGATAAAAATTTAAAACTATTAACCATCTGTTTTGGAGGGCAATAGGGCAAGGAGGGCAAGAGGTGAGCTGGTAATTAAGGTTCCTTGTTGAGACAAATGTAAGATATATGACTACTTATTTGTCATTTATAGATAGAAGAATATATAGCTTTTTGTATCCCATAAAAGGCAATAGGAAATGGGTGTATCTTTTAGGATTGGTTATAGCAATCAGCCAATAGGAAATTCAACCAGGTGTCTGGATTTTTACTTCTTGAAGTATGGCAACCCTATCATAAACCTCTATCATGTGCCCCACTTACTAGTGGAGTTGCTCCAGCCCACATGCAGAGGTGCACCGTGGGGTAGTACGTGACTGGGTGTTCAGTTGCCTACACATTTTTTTGTGCCATAACGAGCCTCATATAATCAACCCGCTTAAATCTAAGTAATGCATGAAGGGGTTAATGCCACAGAGCAGGGGTTAGCAACCTTTTTCAGCCATGGGCCGGTCCAAGGTCCCTCAGACCATGTGGGGGGATGGACTATATTTTTTGGGGGGGAAATGGATGAATTCCGATGCCCCACAAATAACTCAGAGATGCATTTTAAATAAAAGGACACATTCTACTCATGTAAAAACACACTGATTCCTGGACCTTCTGCGGGCCGGATTGAGAAGGCGATTGGGCTGCATCCGGCCCCCGGGCCTTAGGATGCCTACCCCTGCCATAGAGTAAGCTGTCTTGCCAGGCTTAGCGAAGTCACTTCCGCTCATCTTAGGAAGAAGGAATGCAAGCCTATTGTTCTCTCAGTCTACTATGTGAACTCCAATGTGTTAAGAGGTCCAAGCTGGTTTCTCCAAACTGAGACAGCATGACTTTTTGCAAAGTCATTTTGTGTTGCCTTCATCCTGCTTTAGTGTCCCCCCCTTTTTTTTTGGCAACGTAACCCCCAAACCCCCTCTTCTTATTTTCCTTGGGAGATTGCTTTGGTTGCTTTCATCTATACAGTGGAACCTTGGGTTACGTACCGTCCTCCTTACGAACGCTTCGGGTAATGAGCTCCGCTAGCCCGGAACTAGGTAGCGAACTTTGCCCCGGGATGTGAGCGGAAATCGCGCGCCGGTATTGCGGTGGCAGCGGGAGGCCCCATTAGCGAAAGCGCGCCTCAGGTTAAGATAAGGTTACCAGATTTTTTCCAATGAATCCGGGGACAGTTTTCCACTTCAGTAGGAATGATAGGATTTTGTCAGGGGACTGGTTTGTAAATCCGGGGACTGTCCTTGGGAAACGGGGATGTCTGGTAACCTTAGGTTAAGAACAGTTTCAGGTTAAGAACGGACCTCCGGAACGAATTAAGTGCATAACCAGAGGTACCACTGTACTTTTTGGGGGTACATTTTCCATGTATTGAGGTCCCAAAATTTGTTTTGCTTTAATCAAAGTCTCAGAACAGTGGATCCATTATATGAGTTAATGCATCAGGCAATGCTCAACTTTTAAATCACTTTTTTAGATTTCAAATGAGGATTTGTGCACTCTCGTAGAGAGGATAATTTTTTTTTTTTTTAAAAAAAGTTAAATTCAACAGGCATTCAGGATTTTACAATGCTGCACAGGAATTCCTCCTGGAGAAATCACTTTTGGTAATGTGGGGGAAATTTTGTTGTAGATCCTACTCAGTGCTTTCCCCCCATAAAATATATGTTTAGGGGTACTCTCATTTTGACTCACGAAAATCATGATTTTATAGTTCAAACCGGGGGAAATAAATACAGTAAATGGACAAAATTACAAAGATTCACAAAATGTTTAGGGGTATGCGTCCCCCTTTGTCCCCCCAGGAAAAAAAGCACTGGTCCTACATGTCTACAGCTATTTCCCTTGTCGACAAAATCATGATCCAGAGTACATCACACATACCAACAACATCACACATACCATCTCGGGACTATTTAATTGCTCATCGTCTAACATTGTGTATGCCATCAAATGCCAACAGTGTCCTTCAGCTCTCTATATTGGACAAACAGGCCAAACCTTACGCCAAAGAATAAACGGACATAAATCTGACATCAAGAATCACAAAACAGAGAAACCAGTAGGAGAACACTTCAATCTCCCAGGACATTCTATACAAGATCTCAAAGTAGCTGTTTTACTACAAAGGAATTTCAGAAATAGACTGGAAAGAGAAGCTGCTGAATTGCAACTCATTACCAAACTTAAAACCATGGAGAGACCTGGTCTGAACAAAGACATTGGATTCTTATCTCATTATACATGACTAAGCCATTTCTCACCTTCTCACCCCTTGCCTTTTCCTGTAAGACCTATTGCAGTCGTTAAGAGTCGTCAACAGGCTCATCTCAGCTATCTGCCAATCTCCCATTCCCACCACCCTTCTGAGTAATACCCCTCCCCACCTTCTCACTATATAGAAGGGTCTGGCAACTTCTGTTTCAGTGTATCTGAAGAAGTGTGCATGCACACGAAAGCTCATACCAAGAACTAACTTAGTTGGTCTTTAAGGTGCTACTGGAAGGAATTTTTTTATTATGATCCAGAGTGATTTCCTACCTTGTACTCCTGGGAAGCCTCCTCCAGAGGAATCACCTTGTGGCTTTCATGTTCCTTGGATCTGTCACACACCAGACAGATGGGCCTTTTGTGGTCCTTGCAGAAGAGTTTCAGGGGCTCCTGGTGTGTCTCACACCTCTCCTTTCCTCCTACCGTTTCCCAGCCCCGAAGACTGAGTTCTTTGGCTCTCAGCGTTTCCAAAACAGTTGCCAGTGGCTGATTCGGGATGAGGTTCCTCTGCTTAATTTGTTCTCTGCACTGGGGGCAGGAAGCCTCCGCCTCAGATTTCTCCCACCACTGGCTCAGGCAGGATCTGCAGAAATTGTGCCCGCACTCCGGGATGATGACTGGATCCTGGAAATACTCTAGGCAGATGGAACAAATGGCTTCGTCACAGAGATCCTGCGCCGGACTCCCTGCCATGGCTGCCTCGCCACGAAGAGAGAGATGGTTTAGTTTTCTCTCTTTTGCGTCTGCGAATGGGCGTGTTTCCTTTCCAGGAAATTCAGACCCGATGGCTCAAAGATCACTGCTCTCTGAAGTGGGGGGGTTTAAACCGGGACACAGAGATGAGAATTCAGATGAGGTTATTTCAATCTCTGCTGTGGATTCAGCTGTGACACAGAGTCTCTTTGACATGGGAATGTTTTGTTGTTGTTGTTTTTAAAAAATAAAGAATGTGAATAATTTGCTGCTGCTAAGTTAAGGAACCATTTTCCTTTGAAAAGTGGAGATACGTGAGAGTTTCTCCTTCGAGAGCTAGTGATTGAATAACTCAAACTCACGTGCTTTTTTCCAGCATCAGGGCACAATGTTCAAAGTCCAAAAGCAACACAGCCCAACCTTCCACTGCTCTGCACATTCCCACTGGGCAATTTGACACGCATTCACAACCACAGAGAACATGTGAAGGAAACTGGGGGATTTTTAAGCTGCTCCAAAGCTCCAGCTCCTTCCCAGTCCTATTCTCCCACTGATCCCAGCTCCAGCCTGTCCATTCTATCAAATGGATTAGCACTTAAAATTTTGAAAATATTTTTTTTACAGTCTGTCTCAGAAAGGTGAGCTAACTCATGGCCAGCATTTGATTTTTTTTGGGGGGGGGGATGGTGCAGAAGAATGTTCTCTCTCTCTCTCTCTCTCCCTACTTCTAATATTTTTAAATACTGCTTATAGTTATTATTGTTGGTGGTTGATCAATATTCCTAATAAAAATATATTACAAATAGATTATGTTGTTCAATGTTGATCCTTATATAAATTTTACTCTGATGTTTCATTTGATCCAAGCTGAAGTGAGGATTTTATTTTCCCTAAATTTGGGTATATTTTTAAGTGTAGAAATAACGAGAAAACAATTAAGACCATTATAAATCCACCAGAAATTGCATTCAGATTCAGATTCTGGATTCTCATTTTGTTTCCTTTTGCAGAAGGGTCCGGAGCTTAAGAAAGGGCTGAGGTGTCCCTGGGGAGACTTCTGAAAGCTTTTGGAGGTGGGATATCCTCAGACCATGCGGGAAAAAGTTCTGGGAGGACACACAAAAAGTAGTGGGGGAGCAGTTTATCTCCATGTAGACATTGTTTTAGTTATATCCATTAAGCTTATGTTAATCATTAAGATATGTGTTATCTGCACAGGCCCTGTGGCGGCAGCAGGTCAGGTCAGAGGGGAAGTGTTTCAGGGGCTGCCAGAACACAACATCATGCTATGAGGAACCCCCTGGTGCAGAGGCAGTCTACCTCTGAATAAGCTGAAGCTGTGGAGGCGAACAACAGGAAAGGTCTCAAACCCTCCTTTAAGAGGGCATGGAAGTCAATGGCCACCACCACAGGAAGTGCTGCGTGAAGAGGAGAATCACCAAAACCTGTGAGCTAATCATTTTCGTCTATCTATAAAAACATAGGCACTCCTATGTCTACTCAGAAGTAAATCCCATTAAGTTCAAAGGGACTTACTCCCAGAGAGGTGGGTCCGGGGCTGTAGCTTTAATTTTGAGACTCCTTATGGAGAGTGAAAGGTGGGATATCAAGTCCAAACTCTTCTTCTCTTCTTCCTCTTCGCTCCATAGATCTCAAAAGGGATTAGAAAGACATGCTGCCTTCACTTCCTCTTCCCATTTGAGAATCACCATTTGGGTGGCAGAAATGTGGAAATGAAGTGTCTCCCCATATCATCCAGCGCCGAGGGCCTTCTGGCGGTTTCCCTCGCTGCGAGAAGCCAAGTTACAGGGAACCAGGCAGAGGGCCTTCTCGGTAGTGGCACCCGCCCTCCCACCAGATATCAAAGAGAAAAACAACTACCAAACTTTTAGAAGACATCTGAAGGCAGCCCTGTTTAGGGAAGCTTTTAAGGTTTAATAGGTTATTGTATTTTAGTGTTTTATTGGAAGCTGCCCAGAGTGGCTGGGGAAACCCAGCCAGATGGGCGGGGTATAAATAATAAATTACGATGATGATGATGATGATGTGTGACACCCCCCATCCGCTTGACATGAATTGAAATGTTTGAGTAACAAACGGGGGACAGTGGCAGCCCTATTGCTGTGGGGATCAGATGGGATATCAGTCACCCTGTTTATATCCTTGCAGGAAGTGTCATGTGGATAGATGGGGCCATTATACTATTAAGCCTGAAATAACAAAGGAGCAAATAGTAGCCGTATCTTTAATAAAATCAAAGATGTTAACACATGAAACATATTTCCACATTAGTTCAGGCATGTTACACGGCCCCTTCTGACAGTGTCCCACCCCGCAGTCTCCCCCTTCTTTCTATTTTTTGTTTGTTTCAACAAAGTGCCCAAGGCTGTTAATACATAAGTGAGTCACACGCAAATTTTGGATCTCTTTGAATAGGGAGATTTTGCCGAATCGCCACATAAATTGAAGGAAAGGGATTTTGATTGAGACGACTGAAATGTCATCATGGCGATGAGTTGTTGGGGTGAGGGTGAGCTTTCATTCTTTCCAGAGCTAACTGAATGATCTTGAAGATTCCAGAAGATTCCGAAAACTGCTAGAAGCTGTCAGAAAGCTGGATGTTTATCTTTCGTCAAGGCCGCATCTGTGAGAGGAGCTGCTTCTGTTCTTACAGCAGCTGTATGAAAACTGTGTTTAGTATGCATTTATCTGGCAAGCTGACAGAGAGGGAAGAGTAGGGCATTGTGGGTCGCAAAAAGCAAAACCTGGGAAACTCTAAGGAAGAAACTCTTAGTGAGGCGAACTCTGTAAATGGGAGCCATTAAGCTTTTATGACCCGGTAGTGAAATATTTCTGTCTGTGCTTAATTGCCTCTGTGAGTTACTGCCTTCGTTGTCTGGGTCAGAGCTCCTGAAGCGGTCTGATGTTGCGCATCGCTCTGCTGATTTAGGATTGCTGGCATTGAGAAGCATACTTAGCAGTGAACTGGGAAGCTAGTCTGTCTCTACACTCAGAGATTGTCAGGTGGCCTGTGGCAGCCACATAAAAGAAGGGCTGGAGGGTCTCTCCTGAGAAGGAGGCTGCCGAGAATGAGTGGAGGAGGACTGCTCTCTCAGCATCGTAAAAGGACACCCGTCCCCCTTCACAGTTCAGGGTGACTCGGATCCACTTGGGCTCCTCTTTTGGAACAAAGTACTGGTACCCACCGCCCCACTTCCCCAAACACCAGATCCCTTCCCCAGGACCAAAAGAGAGAAGACCCTTCCTCTTCACAGACTTTCTGGCCACCCCCACCCCCATTCCTCCCCTCTTCTCACAATGACTTCCCAGAAATGTCGGCCTGCTGTGAAACCCTCACATCCCAGCACATAGTTATATCTGTCAAATCTCTCAGGGTTGTCTGGCAGGTCTTGATAGACGTCTCCCCTTCGCACACTCTTTCGATCCATGGACAGGATGAGGTAGGGATTTGCTGTGTCTGGATCCAAAGTTATGTTTTCTGTGGGGGCAGAGGAGGAAAGAGAAGAGAAACGATGTCAACTGGGAAGCTGACTTTTCCTTAGGCACGTGACAGAAACAGCATCCCCTCTGAAATGAACAGGGACTCCATAGCTCTGTATTCGAGAGAGAGGGATGTTCATCAAGTTCTTAATGATTCTTGAAATATTTGCAGTTCTTTCAAGGGTTCACACATTATCTATATAGAACCTGACCCTGTAAGTTAAGTCAAGCTTAGCATGCCCATTTTTCAGATGGGAGGACTGAGGCTGAGAGACAGTGGCTTGTCTAAGGCCACCCCCACCCCCCACAGTTCATGGCAGAAGGGAGTCAAAGCAGGGACTCTCATTCACATCTTAATCTTTTACCTCACATCACATGACAGACCATGCTGGACATGCCAGGTAAAACTGAGAGCAGGAGCTCTCAATTTTCAGTTACATATTTAAAGCATGTTATGCCCCATCTTTCCAGGTAGTTTATAAAAAGAACAATACATAAAAATGTATTTCTGTCCTCTGATTGATACTCCCTGTCTAAAATGTCCTGCTTGGAATTATTGACGTGAGCGGTCAACCAAGAACAAACTTTAATTGGTTTGTTAAGAGTGAAGCAGAAAATTGATACTTCTGTCTTTTAAATTGACATCTGTTACATTGTTGATATTGTTTCCTTTTGCTATGACTTGTTTTAATGCAACCCCCCCTGGGCTCCCAGGATAAAGGGAGAGATACAGTAGAAGTCTCTTTAACTACATTGGACGCTCGGGTTGCGATCGTGATCCGTGCGGGAGGCACATTCGCAACCTGCAGCGTTCGCAACCTGCAGCACAGCGTTTGTGCACGTGTGGGTTGCAATTCGGCACTTCTGCGCATGCGCAAAGCACGATTTAGTGGTTCCGGTACTTTCAGGTTCGGTGCAGTGTGCAACCCGAAAATGCACAACCTCAAGCATCTGTAACCCGAGGTATGACTGTATTTAAATTACTTTATTAAAGCCAAACCCGGTAACACCTGGGAAGTGCCGTTCCCACCCTCACCTTCAATGCAAAAACGCCATCCTGGCTCCCCACACCAGATAGGCTATATGACTCATCTTTCTCTTCTCTGCTCCTCACATACGTAAAAAACAGCTTAGGAAAATTGCCAGGTCTCTTGTTATTGTTGTCACAGAGATTTCTGGCTAAATAGCAAAAAAATAGCTAGAAGGTATCTGGAGTCACGTCCCCCCACCAAGAAAAAAAAAGTACTAGCTAAAGACGATGTTATCAGGAGCCTGTCAAGAATAAAAATTAATGGACTTCCGGGTTAGCGCGATCGGCTAATGGCGGATTCCCTCCAAGCTCTGGAGGGAATCGGCTCTGTAGAAGACGGGTCCTGCCGCGGCGGCAACGCAGGGGCCCCTAAAAACCACAGGCGCTGAAGCCTGTGGACCTGGTGACTCGGCGGGCACCAATTACGCCCCCCGACCTGCGAAGGAGCCTTTTTAAAGGCTACGGAACGGGGGACGGGGAGCGGCGTGGTGCTGAGAGTAGACCGCTTCTCCTACGGAGTGAAGCCGCAAGCCATGGCCGGAGAGCGCTGACTTCTTTCTTGAACAATTTGGATTTTAAAAAGTAACAACCCGTGAGTAGTACGGAAATTGGAACTAAATATTTTTTTTTGAATTAGGCACGATCGGGGGAGCCGCTAAAAGGAAGTCCGCCTCCCCCTCCTGTAGATAAATTAAGCAAGAATTTGATAATTAAGGTCAAGAGAACTTTCTTTTTAAAAGCTATTAATTTCACGACTTGGCAGTACAAGTAATTTTGCTGGAGGATAAGAGTTGATTTTAAGAGTTGAAGCGCAACCCCCCGGGACCCGGGAGTGATCCGTGAGAGAGCCTGCTGAGGAGACATAAAGAGGACTGAGAGAGAATTGAGGACCTCGGATGTGAGATCTCCGGGCTGAGAATTGATAGACTGTTGGACATTTGTTGGGGATCGAAACCGGGAAAGGGGGGGATGAGAGTTGGGGAATCCAAAGGGTGTATAATAATATGTTGTTGTTTCTTTTGGTTTGTTTTCTACTTAATATAAAAATTGGGAAATTCGTGGAAGGGAATTTGGGTCGACTTTAGAAAAGGGTGTAAAGAATGTGTATTGTTGTCTAAATTGGGGCTTTTAAGTTAAAATCAATTATTTAAGATGAATTACAGTAAATACAGTAATAATAAGGTAAAGTTGGGGATAAGAACTTGCTGAGTTGATTATTGGAATTGGAATACAGGAAGGGGAGGTGAGGGGAAGTCAGGGGAAAATGTTAAGAAAATAAGGATTTGAAATTGTACTTGTTGTATGTGTTTGTCTGTGTTTTTGTGTGTGTTTAAAAAACTTTAATAAAAATTTATTATAAAAAAAGAATAAAAATTAATGTTTGAGTGTATGGCAGAGGAGGAGAAAGAGGGAGTGGAGTTTGGGCTCTATTGGCTGAGAACATGTCATGGTCTTGGTCCTGGCTGCCTCTCTCTGATGCCAGTCTGTGGACTTGCCTGTTGTGAATGTTTAAGCTCTGTCAATCTAATGATACTGGTAAATAAAACACTCAAAAAGGATGAAATGTCATAAGCCTCCAATGATATCCTTCAAAAGGAAACCTCTTTGAACGTCTCACTGACAAGAAAATTGGGAGAGTATAACACCTTAAGTACAATTTATCACTTCCTGAAAGTGACAAAAAACTGTAAAGGAGACATGGAAAGTGCAAAGGGGGACTGGACTGTGGGGGGTGATGGACAGAAGATCCACAGTAGCCTGGTCTTTTGAGAAGCAGATTCCATCACTCCTGAAACTGTTCCTCCTTTAAACCCTGACATTTACCTTTTCGCTGCTGAAGTCCAGATCTCAGTGTGTCTGGAAGAGAAAAGAGAACAGAGATTTAGCATCTTTCCACTGTCTTGATAACTCATCTAGTAATGACAATACAAACTCATGAGATTGTACAGTCATACCTTGGAAGTTAAATGGAATCCGTTCCGGAAGTCCATTCGACTTCAAAAACGTTCAGAAACCAAAGCACAGTTTCTCATTGGCTGCAGGAGTCGGGAGTTGATTTGTTTGGGAGCAAAGGCATTTGAGATCCAAGGTACGGCTGTGGTTTAAAGGTAAAGGTAAAGGGACCCCTGACCATTAGGTCCAGTCGTGGCCGACTCTGGGGTTGCGGCGCTCATCTCGCTTTATTGGCCGAGGGAGCCGGCGTACAGCTTCCGGGTCATGTGGCCAGCATGACTAAGCCGCTTCTGGCGATCCAGAGCAGCGCACGGAAACACCGTTTACCTTCCCACCGGAGTGGTACCTATTTATCTACTTGCACTTTTGACGTGCTTTCGAACTGCTAGGTTGGCAGGAGCGGGGACCAAACAACGGGAGCTCACCCCGTCGCGGGGTGTAGGTGAAGATACTTGGGAAATGGGTGAAAGGCGTGAAAGCACCTAAGGCCTGGCTGAGAGATGTGAAGAGGTCAAGTACAACTTTTTACAGACAACTCGCAACTTATGTGAGGGTTGTACTCCATCTGAGATTTGGCATGTTCCCATAAGTTCTTGATGGAGCCTCTCAGAGCCCAATAAACAAGGCAGAGGCGGAGCCCAGTAAACGATAATTTCTTGCCCGCTCTCTATTTTATAGCGATCCGCGTAAAGCTGTGATTGCATAAAGAAAGCAGCATAAGCTCTGAGTCTTCACATGTGAAAGTATGGCTTCTAGATATTGAAAGAGAATAAATAAACTTCCATTTTTCCTGGCATGGCTAATAATCCGTATGACTTGGAGCCTGTCATGAACACTTCTAAACATCCATTAAATAATCCTTTCAGCCCTTCTTTATTACCTCTGAATTTTTCCATGACTCCCTCCAGGAAGGGATTAATATCGCAGAAGTCCCAGATCCTCCACTTCAGGGCAGGAGGAAAAGCCACAGGAGGATCCTCTAAGTTCTCCTTCTCCTGAGACCTGGGAGGAGAAGAACAAAGTCAAGCCAACATCCTTCCTATGCAAGGAGCTTTCTGAGAAGGCAGGTGTCTCATCCTGACAATAAAGGCATGATGGATATATATCATGAAGACTTAGGAACAGGTTTTTTCCTATGGCAAAAGGGAGCATCTAGAGAGCACCTAACAAGTTGAAGGAAAGCTGACACTCACTTGCTTCCAAAATATACTGACGGAAATATATGAATATGAGATTGAAGGTAAATAACAAATAAATAAATTATTATTTATACCCTGCCCATTCGACTGGGTTGCCCTTGCCACTCTGGGTGGCTTCCAACATATATAACATATATAAAAACTAGTAAAACATTTAAAAAACTTCCCTATACAGAGCTGCCTTCAGATGTCTTCTAAAGATTGCATAGCTACTAATCTCATTGGCTCAGAAGCCACATAACTTCATAACCTCCAACGTTTCTCTGATAAAAAATAGGGATGTCCTAAGGAAAATTCCAGGATGAAATCAGAAACTGGGATGGCTTTTGTAAATCCAGGAAAGTCCCTGGTTTCTGCAGATGTCAAACTTTCCACACCTTGCCCCTCTTATAAAGAAAAAGTAAATGAATCCATCACAAAGAAGAGCCTTCAGAAATATGCAATGGAGGGGAACGAGGAATGGCTTCCTTCCCATGATTGTAGATGAGACCAATAGCTACAAATTACTATGAAAATGTGTCCCTATTTTTGTCTGTGATTTTGTGAAATGGACGATGGAGTCCTAAGCTATCTCTGGAAGGAGGAACTGGAGAGTGAGTTTCTTACTCTCAATCTTGTGAAATTTAAACCTTGTGAAATGGACGATGGAGCCCTAAACTATTTCTGGAAGGAGGAACTGGAGAGTGAGGTTCTCACCCGTTAAACAGGAACTTTTGTAGCATCAGAATAAGGAAGGGGTTTTTCCATCACTTACCTCTGCAAGAAGCTTCTGATATCCTGGAAGGAAAGAAAAAGATATCCATGGAGCCATTTCTGCACAGAGTGCTGCGGTCAGTTATAAATACTAAGCAGCTGAAGTGGTGAGACGTTAGCCAAGCACAAAAGACCCCCAATAAAATACAGTGGTACCCCGCAAGACGAATGCCTCGCAAGACGGAAAACCCGCAAGACGAAAGGGTTTTCTGTTTTGGAGGCGCTTCGCAAGACGAATTTCCCTATGGGCTTGCATCGCAAGACGAAAGCCCATAGGGAAATGCTGGCGGTCGGGAGCAAAGACTTTCGCCCACAGCCGGCCTTCAGAAGAGGACCTCTTCTGAAGGCCGGCGGGGGGCAAAAGTCTTTGCTCCCCCCCGCCTGCCTTCCCCCCGCCTGCCCGGGACGATCTTAAAATGCTGGCGGGCGGGAGCGAAGCGTTCGCTGCCGACCCCCAGCATTTTAAAATCTCCAAGGGACAGCAGAGAAGTCTCTGTCCCGGGGAGATTTTAAAATGCTGGGGGTCGGCAGCGCTTCGCTCCCGACCCCCAGCATTTTAAAACGCTGTTCCGAAGGGGGGGGTGGGGACACCTGCCCCAGCCGCCCCACTTCGGAAAGCTGTTCCGAAGCGGGGAGGGGGGGCGGGGACATCTGCCCCAGCCGCCCCACTTCGGAAAGCTGTTCCGAAGTGGGGAGGGGGGCGGGGACATCTGCCCCAGCCACCCCACTTCGGAAAGCTGTTCCGAAGTGGGGAGGGGGGGGCGGGGACACCTGCCCCAGCCGCCCCACTTCGGAAAGCTGTTCCGAAGTGGGGAGGGGGGTGGGGACACCTGCCCCAGCCGCCCCACTTCGGAAAGCTGTTCCGAAGCGGGGAGGGGGGGCGGGGACATCTGCCCCAGCCGCCCCACTTCGGAAAGCTGTTCCGAAGGGGGGAGGGGGGGCGGGGACATCTGCCCCAGCCGCCCCACTTCGGAAAGCTGTTCCGAAGGGGGGAGGGGGGGCGGGGACATCTGCCCCAGCCGCCCCACTTCGGAAAGCTGTTCCGAAGCGGGGAGGGGGGGCGGGGACACCTGCCCCAGCCGCCCCACTTCGGAAAGCTGTTCCGAAGTGGGGCGGGGGGACGGGGACACCTGCCCCAGCCGCCCCACTTCGGAAAGCTGTTCCGAAGTGGGGAGGGGGGGCGGGGACATCTGCCCCAGCCGCCCCACTTCGGAAAGCTGTTCCGAAGTGGGGAGGGGGGGCGGGGACACCTGCCCCAGCCGCCCCACTTCGGAAAGCTGTTCCGAAGTGGGGCGGGGGGCGGGGACATCTGCCCCAGCCGCCCCACTTCGGAAAGCTGTTCCGAAGTGGGGAGGGGGGGGCGGGGACACCTGCCCCAGCCGCCCCACTTCGGAAAGCTGTTCCGAAGCGGGGAGGGGGGTGGGGACACCTGCCCCAGCCGCCCCACTTCAGAAAGCTGTTCCGAAGCGGGGAGGGGGGGCGGGGACACCTGCCCCAGCCGCCCCACTTCGGAAAGCTGTTCCGAAGGGGGGAGGGGGCGGGGACACCTGCCCCAGCCGCCCCACTTCGGAAAGCTGTTCCGAAGGGGGGAGGGGGGGCGGGGACATCTGCCCCAGCCGCCCCACTTCGGAAAGCTGTTCCGAAGTGGGGAGGGGGGGCGGGGACATCTGCCCCAGCCGCCCCACTTCGGAAAGCTGTTCCGGCATGCCGGCAACTTTCCGCAAGCTGCGGCAGCGCTGCCGCTGCTTGCGGAGAGGTCTGCGAACCCTGGGCGGACATCTTTTGAAGGCAGGGGGGGAGCAAAGACTTTTGCCCCCCGCCAGCCTTCAGAAGAGGTCCTGGACCTCTTCTGAAGGCCGGCGGGGGGCAAAAGTCTTTGCTCCCCCCTGCCTGCCTTCCCGGGAGAGCGGAGAAACGCAGCACGTTTCTCCGCTGTCCCGGAGGGCTTTTGAATGCAGGCGGGGGGAGCAAAGACTTTCGCCCCCCCCAGCCTTCAGAAGAGGTCGGGGGACAGACTGTCCCCGGACCTGGTCTGAAGTCGGTTTCCCTAGGAACGCATTAATTGATTTTCAATGCATTCCTATGGGAAACCGTGCATCGCAAGACGAAAAACTCGCAAGACGAAGAGACTTGCGGAACGAATTAATTTCGTCTTGCGAGGCACCACTGTATGCAGTGCCATGTAATTTGGAATAACCATCAGATGGCAAAAGTCAGCCATTCCAGTGATGACGAAGAAAAGGTCCCTTTCTTCTCTTTTGACCAAGTCACCCAAACACCTGAGAGATTCAATCCCACCTCCCTGATTTGCCATTTTGCCCTGCAGTGCATGCTGGTTCTGTGTTCACATACAACTAATCGGTTCACTGCTATGTACATCCCACACTCAATCATATCCTATGAACCACCCTGAGACCTGTGGGTATAGGGTGGTACACAAACTTATTTTAATAATAATAATAATAATAATAATAAGAAGAAGAAGAAGAAGAAGAAGAAGAAGTCGTCACCCCCCTCTTTGGCTGGACCCAAGACAGCATCTGAATGAAAAGATGTTGCAGTGCCAATTTGGAATGCCTGTGTTGGAGGCAGTATCGGTTGTTTTCAACTACCTTTTACTCAGACACACTGAAATGAATGAACCTAAGATAGTCTACTCTGAGTAAAGGTTAATTGAATACAGAGTTCTATTGGCTTGTGGGCTTCCCAGAGACCTCTGGTTGGCCAATGCAAGAACAGGAAGCAGGACAGAAAGGGCCTGTGGTTTGATGTAGTAAAAATATTGGGGGGGTGGGCAGGTAAGCTCCGCCCCACATAATCAATCACAAGATGCAGTACACACACCCCATTTCAAAACAAATGTCTATTATTGGGGGGGCTGGTCCTCTCAAATATTTCATTGGGGTGTCAAGGGACCTCAGCCCCTCAGAGTTGGCTCCTGTGCCAAGGCTGACATCATTTAGCATTCATGTACTGCTTGTTTCTCTGACAACAGTATTTTTATGTGGGGAAGGACTATGAAATGCTTGTACAGGGGTACCTCAGGTTACGTACTTAATTCGTTCCGGAGGTCCGTTCTTAACCTGAAACTGTTCTTAACCTGAGGTACCACTTTAGCTAATGGGGCCTCCCGCTGCCGCCACACGATTTCTGTTCTCAGCCTGAGGCAAAGTTCTTAACCCAAGGTACTATTTCTGGGTTAGTGGAGTCTGTAACCTGAAGCGTCTGTAACCCGAGGTACCACAGTAGTCTGAAGCAGCACACTCCACCCTCTCGCATCAGGATGAGGCCTGACCTGCAGGAGTTCACTCGCTGGTTCCTGAAGCTTCTCCTCCATCTCCCGAATGGCACTATCAAAAGCGGAAAGTTCCCTGGAGAGACTGGCCAGGTGCTCCTCCCTTTTCTTTGCAATCTCCTTCTCCACCTCTTCCATCTGGGCCAGAAGAAGCTTCTCTTGTTCTTCCAGAAACTGGTGCATTTGCCTGATCTCAGCCACCAACTTCCCCTTCTCTGCTTTCATTTGCTTCTGCAGCAGCAAAAAGAGAAAGAGGAGGAGAACAGCAGGCCAATATCAGGCATAATGTTGCAGGATGAAGAGACCAGTTATCAGAATTCACTTGGAAGGGCATGTCTGACATTTTAGAGAGATTTAAGACTACAGCACTTTTTCACTTCAAATAACAGTGATGCTTACAAGCAGGTCTTGGCTTTCCTTTTCTGCATCTGCTTTAAACATCAGAATTTTCTTTCTCTCCTTCCTCACGTTGTCTAGGCATCTGCTGATCTGATCCTGAAAAGAAAACAAAATCCCAGCTGGGTTGCTTTTTCGAGCGTTTTAGTAATACCAGGCAACTGAATCATATGCTTGCTCCCTGCCCCACATTCCCGGGTCCTTCCGGAGGTTCCCCTTCATTCCTGCCCCCTGCCTTGCCCCACTTTCCAGTTCTAGGAGCCTTCACTGGGAGCTGCTTCCAGAGGAAGAACTGTGGGGAGTGACCCCAATATGCTGCAGGGGGACACAGAGGGAAATTAACCCCTCGAAAGATGATGAAACATTTATCAACTAGTGTTTTCAGAAGTTTCACAAGGCTGCACAAACGCTCCTGCTAGAGGGGGTGGGGAGAATTCATTATTTCAAGAGTATCTTGGCATCCTTCCTGCCTTGCAGGGGGTTGGACTAGATGACCCTTGGATCCCTTCCAACTATGATTCTGTGATCCTGCAGGCCTGGCTTGTCTACAGCTGTTCCAAGTAAATCCAGAGCAGGGGCATAGCATGGGCCAGCCTGGGGGGTGCCTGTCGTGAGCTGTTGCGTCCTTTGCGCAACGTCTTCCATCTGTAGGGCAGGTGAGAAGGACTAACAGGCTGGAACCCTGGCTTTGCAAGTCTCAGAAAGCGGTGCTGGGCTCGCAGTGTGCTGTGAGACTTGCACCCCTCAAAGCAGGGCAGCATCGGCCGCATTGGCTGACCGAGCTCCCCACTGCATGGCCGAGCAGGCGGCGCAATTCCCCCCCCCTTAGCCCCAGTTACTGGGGATCGCTCCACCAGCACGTGTCCCCATGGGGTGTGGCACACCCCGGGCACCAGCAAGGAATGCTCCGCCACTGATCCAGAGTGTTTTCCTACCTTGTACTCCTGGGACGCCTCCTCTATAGGAACCGCCTCGTGGCTTTTGTGCTCCTTGGCTCTGTCACAAACCAGACAGATGGGGCTTTCGTCCTCCTTGCAGAAGAGCTTCAGGGGCTCCTGGTGTTTCTCACAAACTCTCCCCTTTCCTTTGGCCTCCATTTTTCTGCCCAGAAGCCTGAATTTCTGGGTTATTTCCACAAAATTTGCCAGCTGCTGGTTTGGCCTGACGCTGCCTTGATCCACCCTTTCCCTGTACTGAGGGCAGGAAGCCTCTCCCTCGGATTTCCCCCAATACTGGGTCAGGCAGGACCAGCAGAAGTTGTGCCCGCATTCATGAATGATCACTGGATCCCTGAAATACTCCAGGCAGATGGGGCCAAAGTGGCTTCCTCGCAGAGATCCACTACCTCCAGAAGCAGCCAAGGCCACCGCCCCAGGGAGAGAGAGTTGATTTCGTTTTCGCTTTTCCTTCTGCAAATGGGCGTGTTTCCTTTCCAGGAAATTCAGATTTGCTGCGTCCAGATCTCTGCTGATATGGAGCTATGGAGTTAGCTGGAGCAGAGAGCCTCTTTCATGTAGAGAAAATTAATTTCTTTATTTTAAAAGGAATGCTCCTGGTGGCTGCTCGTTTAAAGAACCATTTCCAGTGAGAGTAGGAGAAAAGTGAGGTTGTATTTTCCCTAACTTCACATGAGCCTCAGACTACTTTGAAAACCTAACTCCATTTCCCCCGCAAATTGCTCCATTCTAGCTCTTAGCCTCTACGTAAAGAGCAGAAGCAGCCCATGGTGCCTACTTTTAGTGTGGACAAAACTGCCAGCCTCTCTGATAATGTGAAAAAACACTGGGGCCCCCGCTAGGTGAACACTGGGATCACACAGCATTTTTAGCAAAACGAGAAACTTTGTCTTTCATAATCAAAAAAGAACTGGGTCATTTTTAATCTGCTATGAAGACCCAGTGAAGCTGAAAGGAGGGAGAGTCAGGGAAGGAAGGACTTCTCTTCACACAAGATTTTGTGGGATTCTGATTAATTTTGCAACATGCAGAAGGGCTTGAGGTGACATGAGGGAGGGGATCCCAGAGACCGAGGCAGAAAAGTGGGCAGATGCCTGGAAAAACAAACTCGGACTCTTTTTGGAAAAAGGTGAGCGATGGGGAGCCATGATAAGAGTTATAGAAAATGTGGCAAAAGTGGACAGGAATATGTTTTTCTCCTCATAGGCTGTGAGCTAAAGTTCATGTATGTGCCAAATGCTGTTACGCTCCTAATGTTGGTGCCATTCCATAGGGAAAACCTCCTGTTTTGGGAGGTTTGTAATGCTTGATGTTTTTATTATGTTTTTAGATGTGCTGTAAGTCTCCCAGAGTGGCTGAGGAAACCCAGCAGATGGTTGGGGTATTATTATTATTTTATTACTTAAAAAGTGTGCCCTAAGGTAAAGGTAAAGGGACCCCTGACCATTAGGTCCAGTCGTGGATGACTCGGGTTGCGGCGCTCATCTCGCTTTATTGGCTGAGGGAGCCGGCGTACAGCTTCCAGGTCATGTGGCCAGCATGACTAAGCCGCTTCTGGCGAACCAGAACAGTGCACGAAAACGCCATTTACATTCCCGCCGGAGCGGTACCTATTGATCTACTTGCACTCTGATGTGCTTTCGATCTGCTAGGTTGGCAGGAGCAGGGACCGAACAAGGGGAGCTCACCCCGTCGCAGGGATTCAAACTGCCGACCTTCTGATCGGCAAACCCTAGGCTCTGTGGTTTAACCTACAGCACCACCCGCGTCCCAAAGTGTGCCCTACTCAAAGGTTAATAGTTTGCATGCTAAACATGCAGTCCTTGATCTAACGCCAACGACACAATGTCCCCCACCCGCCTTTAACTGATGAATGAGTGGGAAGAGAAAGGGAGACAAATGCTTTTAATATTTATGGGCAGAGCCTGGATCATTTTGCAAGGTCTGAGAAATAATAGGTTATGATTGGCTGGAGGTTCTAGTCTATGGAAGGGGGCGAAATAAGTGAGTGTGGGGACAAAGCACATGGGTTGTCTACAGGGCCGTTTTAAGCGTGTCCGGCACGTGGTGCAAAGACAGGAACGGTGCACTCACCCTCGCTCACTCAGCGCGCTCATTCGGTGTTCCTCAGACTCTCGCCTGGCGCCCTCCAGAACGTGGCACCTTGGTGCCCCGCGCCACTAGTGTGTATGGGTAACATGCCCCTGGTTGTCTAGTCAGAACAGATTTAGTTGACCACATGAACCACCATATGAAAGAAGGTTCAAAACCTGGGTAGATATAATACAGTGGTACCTCCAGTTATGAACTTAATTTGTTCCGCAGCTCCATTCTTAACCTGAAACCGTTCTTAACCTGAGGCCGTGCTTTCACTAATGGGGCCTCCTTGCACCCTGGGGCATAGTTTGCTACCAGGAGCAACTACTTCCAGATGAGCGGAGCTTGTTACCCGAAGCATTTGCAAGGAGGATGGTATGTAACTCGAGGTTCCACTGTATATGCATTTGCATATACAGAATCTGGGCATGAACTGTTGTGTCGAATGACAGCCTCTACGCTGTCTTGGCAGTGAATCTTTCCTCCTGAGCAACCAATAAATGAAATCCAGGTGTCTGATCAAAGGAATTTGCACACACGTGTGTTCATCGCACTCTTCCTCAACGCTCGATGTCTGGCAGCTTAACACTCAAACTGACTCCACAGAGAAGCATGGACTCAGGGGTGGTGTGCAAGTGGCTCTTGTGGTGGCTGATTCATCACAAGCCTCCATGAGACATTGCCGTCGTCCAGTGAGGGACAGACCTCTGTGAAGCAGCTTGAAGTACCTGGATTTCCTTTAAGGCTGTGGCTCTAAGCGTATTTATTTGGGAACAAGTTCCATTGTGGGAAGGGGACAGAGAGAAGGGACAGCCCACGCCAATGTCTTGGGAGGGTGGGGCGAATTGTCCCAAGATCTTAATGCTCCCACTTGAATTAATCGTGAGTTGGGCAGGTAAGCTTTAAATCAAAGCTGGCAATCTGTTGAAAATGCTGTGTGTGTGTGTGTGTGTGTGTGTGTGTGAGTGAGAGAGAGAGACCTGCATTGATGTGCTGTTGGGTCACTAGTCATGGGAACTACAATGTCTACTGCGCATGCATGAGATGAGAATGAATTCACTGTGGGTTCCTGTGGAACGCCCTCCCATCAGATGTCAAACAGATAAACAGCTACACAGCATTCTGAAGACATCTGAAGACAGCCCTGTATTGGGAAGTTCTTAATGTTTGATGTTTACTATGTTTTAATATGTGCTATAAGCTGCCCAGAGTGGCTGGGGAAACCAAGACAGATGGGTGGGGTATAAATAATAAAATAAAATTATTATTCTGAGACTGGAATAATGCGAGTCAGGACTGGAAGTTTTAATGGATAATGTGAGGTAGGCAAACCAGCTCCTTGAGTTGGAACCTGCCTGGTCCCCTGGGAAGCAGTTCTCTCACAGTCCTTCTCCCATAAAGACCCTTATGGATCCGTAACTGCTTGGTTCCTGCTCACTGCAGACAGATCTGCATGGACCTGTCTATTAACTACAAAGCCCCTAAGAGAAAATAATTGTATACATGGGAATCTACCACACCCACACCCTGAAATTCCCTAGATTGTCTCTGTTCTCTCCTCAGAGCTTGTCAGTGGTTATGTTCTTGGTCTGCATTCAAAGGCAAAATCACATAAAGGCAGGAAGACCCCCAGAAATGCCTTCTGCAACCTTCCTAGAGGGCAGTAGGGAAGGCGGAGGAAAACCCAGGGCCAAAAGAGTTTAAGCCCTTTGCCTTGCTTTCTGCCCTCTGGAGGCTCTTGTGAGATATCGCACGGCCCCTTCTGAGTCTCACTTCCAAGCCGTGCGCCATCTTGATATTTTTGTTTTGACGAACCATGCAAGGCAGGGATCGTGCAACTAAGCTGCGTGCAGATTTTGGGCCACTTTGGATATAGAGATTTTACTGAAATGCCACATAAGCTTCCCTGAGCAACAGCAAAGAAGAAGGGATTTTGGTTCTTGCGTCTCCACAGCCAGTGAAGGTCTTGGGGGAGGGAAAGGGAAACGGAAAACAGGATGGAGGCTGAGGGAGGTTTTAAGTGATGCCTATTCAGAATTCTATTCAGAAGTGATGAGTGTATTCTCCATAGAAAGCTGTAAGTCAGACTTCACTGGCTTTTGGGAGGCTGGAAAAAGTACTACATCAGAACAGGCATGAGGGTAGGGTTGATTTTGTGTTCATTATTAGTCTGCTTCTTTGCCCCTCCGGCACCAACTGAAGCAGCTGATTCCCAAGGGAGACCATGAGGGAAAGACAACAGGCAGGTTTCAGGACTGACTCAACCAATTGGTACCATTTACAGAAGTGGCCTCCCCTTCATGGATCACTGCCTTGCCGTGGCGAAGGGGCTTGAATAACTCAGAGAAGCTATGAGCTATGCCGTGCAGGGCCACCCAAGATGGACAGGTCATAGTGGAGAGTTTTGACCAAACGTGATCCACCTGGAGCAGGAACTGGCAAGCCACTCCAGTATCCCTGCCAAGAAAACTCCATGGACAAAGACAACAGGCATATAAAAGTGATGACGCTGGAAGATGAGCCCCTCAGGTCGGAAGGCGTCCAACATGCTACTGGGGAAGAGCGGAGGACAAGTACAAGTAGATCCAGAGCTGATGAAGCGGCTGGGCCAAAGCCGAAAGGACGCTCAGTTGCGGATATGCATGGAAGCGAAAGGAAAGTCCAATGCTGTAAAGAAAAATATTGCATAGGAACCTGGAATGTAAGAACCATGAACCTGGGTAAGTTGGATGTGGTCAAAAATGAGATGGCAAGAATAAATATTGACATCCTGGGCATCAGTGAACTAAAATGGACGGGAATGGGCGAATTCAGTTCGGATGACCATCATATCTACTACTGTGGGCAACAATTCTGTAAAAGAAATGGAGTGGCCCTCATAGTCAACAAAAGAGTGGCGAAAGCTGTATTGGGATGCAATCTCAAAAATGATAGAATGATCTCGATACAAATCCAAGGCAGACCTTTTAACATCACAGTAATCCAAGTTTATGCACCAACCACTGGTGCTGAAGAAACTGAAATTGACCAATTCTATGAAGACTTACAACACCTTATAGAATTGACACCAAAGAAGGATGTTCTTCTCATTATAGGGGATTGGAATGCTAAAGTAGGGAATCAAGAGATAAAAGGAACAACTGGCAAGTTTGGCCTTGGAGTTCAAAACGAAGCAGGGCAAAGGCTAATAGAGTTCTGCCAAGAGAACAAGCTGGTCATCACAAACACTCTTTTCCAACAACACAAGAGACGACTCTACACATGGACATCACCAGATGGGCAGCATCAAAATCAGATTGATTATATTCTCTGCAGTCAAAGATGGAGAAGCTCGATACAGTCAGCAAAAACAAGACCTGGAGCAGACTGTGGCTCAGATCATCAGCTTCTTATAGCAAAATTCAAGCTTAAACTGAAGAAAGTAGGAAAAACCACTGGGTCGGTAAGATACAATCTAAGTCAAATCCCTTATGAATACACAGTGGAAGTGAGGAACAGGTTTAAGGATTTAGATTTGGTGGACAGAGTGCCTGAAGAATTATGGACGGAGGCTCGCAACATTATACAGGAGGCAGCAACGAAAACCATCCCAATGAAAAGGAAATGCAAGAAAGCAAAGTGGCTGTCCAACGAGGCCTTACAAATAGCGGAGGAGAGAAGGCAAGCAAAATGCGAGGGAGATAGTGAAAGGTACAGAAGAAGAAGAAGAAGAAGAGTTTGGATTTGATATCCCGCCTTTCACTCCCTTTTAAGGAGTCTCAAAGCGGCTAACATTCTCCTTTCCCTTCCTCCCCCACAACAAACACTCTGTGAGGTGAGTGGGGCTGAGAGACTTCAAAGAAGTGTGACTGGCCCAAGGTCACCCAGCAGCTGCATGTGGAGGAGTGGAGACGCGAACCCGGTTCCCCAGATAACGAGACTACCACTCTTAACCACTACACCATACTGGCTCTCACATTGGAAATTGAATGCAGATTTCCAACAAATAGCAAGGAGAGACAAGAAGGCCTTCTTAAACAAGCAATGCAAAGAAATAGAGGAAAACAACAGAATGGGAAGAACCAGAGATCTGTTCAAGAAAATTGGAGATATGAAAGGGACATTTCGTACAAAGATTACCATAATAAAAGACAAAAGTGGTAAGGACCTAACACAAGCAGAAGACATCAAGAAGAGGTGGCAAGAATACACAGAGGAATTATACCAGAAAGATATGGATGTCTCGTACACCCCAGGTAGTGTGGTTGCTGACCTTGAGCCAGACATCCTGGAGAGTGAAGTCAAATGGGCCTTAGAAAGCACTGCAAATAACAAGGCCAATGGAAGTGATGGTATTCCAGCTGAACTACTTTTAAAAGATGATGGTGTTAAGGTGCTACAATCAATATGCCAGCAAGTTTGGAAAACTCAGCAGTGGCCAGAGGATTGGAGAAGATCAGTCTACATCCCAATCCCAAAGAAAGGCAGTGCCCAAGAATGCTTCAACTACCGCACAATTGAACTCATTTCACACGCTAGCAAGGTTATGCTTAAAATTCTACAAGGAAGGCTCAAGCAGTATATGAACCGAGAACTCCCAGAAGTGCAAGCTGGATTTAGAAGAGGCAGAGAAACCAGAGACCAAATTGCAAACATGCGCTGGATTATGGAGAAAGCTAGAGAGTTCCAGAAAGACATCTACTTTTGCTTCATTGACTATGCAAACACTTTGACTGTGTCGACCACAGCAAACTATGGCAAGTTCTTAAAGAAATGGGAGTGCCTGATCACCTCATCTGTCTCCTGAGAAATCTCTATGTGGGACAAGAAGCTACAGTTAGAACTGGATATGAAACAACTGATTGGTTCAAAATTGGGAAAGGAGTACGGCAAGGCTGTATATTGTCTCCCTGCTTATTTAACTTATATGCAGAATTCATCATGCGAAAGGCTGGGGTGGATGAATCCCAAGCTGGAATTAAGATTGCCGGAAGAAATATCAACAACCTCAGATATGCAGATGACACAACCTTGATGGCAGAAAGTGAGGAGGAATTAAAGAACCTTTTAATGAGGGTGAAAGAGGAGAGCGCAAAATATGGTCTGAAGCTCAACATCAAAAAAACGAAGATTATGGCCACTGGGCCCATCACCTCCTGGCAAATAGAAGGGGAAGAAATGGAGGCAGTGAGAGATTTTACTTTCTTGGGCTCCATGATCACTGCAGATGGTGACAGCAGTCACGAAATTAAAAGATGCCTGCTCCTTGGGAGAAAGGCGATGGCAAACCTAGACAACATCTTAAAAAGCAGAGACATCAGCTTGCCAACAAAGGTCCGTATAGTTAAAGCCATGGTTTTCCCAGTAGTGATGTATGGAAGTGAGAGCTGGACCATAAAGAAGGCTGATCGCCGAAGAAATGATGCTTTTGAATTATGGTGCTGGAGGAGACTCTTGAGAGTCCCATGGACTGCAAGAAGATTAAACCACTCCATTCTGAAGGAAATCAGCCCTGAGTGCTCACTGGAAGGACAGGTCCTGAAGCTGAGGCTCCAATACTTTGGCCACCTCATGAGAAGAGAAGACTCCCTGGAAAAGACCCTGATGTTGGAGAAGGAAGATGACAGAGGACGAGATGGTTGGACAGTGTTCTTGAAGCTACAAACATGAGTCTGACCAAACTGCGGGAGACAGTGGAAGACAGAAGTGCCTGGCGTGCTCTGGTCCATGGGGTCACGAAGAGTCGGACACGACTAAACGACTAAACAACAACAACAACAGAAGTGGCCTGAGAAAAAAAGAGTTGCGCCATGATGGACACTCGGGTCAGTCTATCACTCTTTTGCCAATACAGCTGCCCCTTTAGTGCCTCTGAGATAAGAGAGAACTTAGATCGAAGATGTGGTGATATGTATCTGCTTGTCTGTCTCTATCCTCAGAGAGTGCTAAGTGGCCTTTGGCAGACACAGAAAACAAGGGCTGGAAGGTCTCTCCTGAGAAGCAGGCTGCTGAGTATGACTGGAGAAGGGCTGCTGTATCAGCATCGTAAAAGGACACCCACCCCCCTTCACAGTTCAGGGCCACTCGGATCCTCTTGGGCTCCTTACGGGGGGAGCAGAACTTGTACCTAGCGCGCCACTTTCCCATACCCCAGATCCCTTCACTAGGACCAAAAGAGAACTTGCCCTTCCTCTTCACAGACTTTCTGGCCACCCCCACGGCCCACTCCCCCTCGCTCCCCACAATGACTTCCCAGAAACGTCGGCCTGATGTGAAACCCTCACATCCCAGTACATAGCTATGTATGTCAAATCTCTCAGGGTTGTCTGGCAGGCCTTGACGCACTTCTCCCTCTCTCACGCTCTTTCGATCCTCAGACAGGATGAGCCAGGGATTTGCTGTGTCTGGATCCAAAGTTATGTTTTCTGTGGCGGCAGAGGAGGAAAGAAAAGATGAACCACATCAACTGGGGAGCTGACTTTGCTTTAGACAGTAATGTAATTCCCTCTGAAATGAACAGGGACTCAGTTAACTGTGTTCAGGACTCGGATGCTCCACAAGTTCTTAATAATAATTATTGAAACATCTGTATGGTTTTGGGGGAGTTGTGCCATCAAAAGGAACCCTCCTATTTTCTGGTAATGAAATCACTGTGCACAGAAACCTTACACCAGCCCTGCAAGTAAGGTCAACTTTATTATGCCCGGTTTTTAGACGGGAGGACTGAGGCTGAGAGTGGCTTCTTTACTCACCCCCAAAGCTCATGGCAGAAGGCGTCATCAAAGCAGGGACTCCCTGATTCACAGCTCAATCTTTTCCCTCACGACATACTATGCTTGAAATGCCAGGTAAATCTGGCAGGAGGCCACAGCAGAGAACACACCCGTCTCATGGCAAGCACCCAAGTTCAGTTATGTATTTAAATGATGTTTTACCCCACCTTTCCAGGAAGTTTATAAAAAGAAAAAACACTGACACCCATAAAACTGTCTCTATGCTCTGCTGCTTATGAAAGCGACTAGTCTCCCTTGACCCTCTCTGTGTGAAATGACCTTCTTGGGGCTCTGAGAGCGAATCGGGGGGTGGGCTCTGTTTTGATGAGCAGACGTTGTCAGGCAGGCTGCCTCTCTCTGCAGATGCCAGACAGTTGACTTGCCTGTTGGGAATGTTGAAGCTCTGCTCATCTCATTGATATTGGTAATGAAACTCAAATAGGACAAAAATGCATTCTCCTCCAATGATATCCTTCAAAAGATCATTTTAATGAAGGCCTGGCACCTTCGTTATACACATTTAAGTGCCAGGCAAAAACATTCCTCTTTAACCAGACCCTTGGCTGATTGACATCTGATTGACAACCTAAGTAAGGGACATGGGGGGGTGCTGTGGTCTAAACCACTGAACCTCTTGGGCTTGCCGATCAGAAGGTTGGCGGTTCGAATCCCCACGACGGGGTGAGCTCCCATTGCTCGGTCCCAGTTCCTGCCAACCTAGCAGTTTGAAAGCACGCCAAAAAGTGCAAGTAGATAAATAGGTACCGCTCCTACGGGAAGGTAAACAGCGTTTCCATGTGCTGCTCTGGTTTCGGTGTTCTGTTCCAACCAGAAGTGGGTTAGTCATGCTGGCCACATGACCTGAAAAAACTGTCTGTGGACAAACACCGGCTCCCTTGGCGTGTAAAGCGAGATGAGCGCTGCAACCCCAGAGTCATTTGCGACTGGACTTAACTCTGAAGGGTCCTTTACCTTTACCAACCTAATTTATCACTTCCTGAAAGTGACAGAAAACCTGTAAGGCAGATGTGGAAACTGCTAACTGGGGGGGGGGTAAAATTGTGCCGCTATTCGACCCTGAAATTTACCTTTTTGCAGCTCAAGTCCAGATTCCACAGTGTCTGGGAGAGAAAAGGGAACAGAGATTTAGCATCACACCATCACCCTGGTAACTAATCTGGTAATGACAATATGAGCTCATGCAATTATAGCTGGGGAAGCCAGTGATGAACTTTTGGCATTGTGGACTACAGTTCCCATCATCCCTAAGCATCGGCCATGCCAGCTGGAGCTCATGGGAGTTGCCATTTAAAATGTCTAAAACCCACCATGCTGCCTATACCTGCATAAGCCAGGGAGGGGCGATGTCAAGCTTCAGGCCTGCTCAGACCTGAGAGGAGGAGCAGGACCCCCAGAAGATCTCCCCATCAGCAACAATCTTGAGGAGATGTTCTCATTATTATTATTATTATTATTATGATACCCCGCCCAGTCACCCTGCGTGGCTCACAGCATATACATTGGTACCTCAGGTTACATATGCATCAGGTTACATACGCTTCAGGTTACAGACTCCGCTAACCCAGAAATAGTGCTTCAGGTTAAGAACTTTGCTTCAGGATGAGAACAGAAATCGTGCTCCGGCGGCACGGCAGCAGCAGGAGGTGGTGCTTCAGGTTAAGAACAGTTTCAGGTTAAGAACGGACCTCCAAAACGAATTAAGTTCTTAACCTGAGGTACCACTGTATTGAAACATAGTAAAAAATCAAACATTAAAAACTTCCTGATACAGGGCTGCCTTCAGTTGTCATCTAAAAGTGAGATAGTTGTTTATCTCCTTGACATCTGAAGGGAGGGCGTTCCAGATGGTGGGTGTCCCTACTGAGAAGGCCCTGTGGCCCTCACTTCTCGCAGGGAGGGAACCTTCAGAAGGCCCTCGGCGCTGGACCTCAGTGTCCGGGCTGAATGATGGGGGTGGAGACGCTCCTTCAGGTATACTGGGCCGAGGCGTTTTAGGGCTTTAAAGGTCAGCACCAACACTTTGACTTGTGCTCAGAAACATACTGGGAGCCAATGTAGATCTTTCAGGACCAGTGTTATATGGTCTCAGTAGCCAGTCCCAGTCACCAGTATAGCTGCTGCATTTTGGATTACTGTAGTTGTAGTTTCGTGGTCACCTTCAAAGGTAGCCCCATGTACAGTGCATTGCAGTAGTCCAAGCGGGAGATAACTGGACCATGGCAAGACAGCCTGCGGGCAGGTAGCGCCTCAGCCTGTGTACCAGATGGAGCTTGTAGCCAGCTGCCCTGGCTACCCTCTCCTGCATTCTTAGCCAGCTGCTTCTCTGCACACCCCTCTTGTGCTCCTTGTCCCTTCTGTGTTTTTCCTTCCCTCCCCACTTAAAATGTGGTTACAAAGCATGGATCCACATGGATTCTCAGGATTTTTGCATTGGGTCACCCCAAATTCACCATCAGATCACATGTCTGTGGCCACAGCATGAAGCACAAAAATGATACATCCACTGTTTCATTCAGAATTTCCCCCCCTTGTTTTCCTCCTCTAAAAACGATGTGCGTGTTATGGTCAGGTGCGTGTTATAGAGCGAAAAATACGGTACATTGGCTCCCAGTATGTTTCCGAGCACAATTCAAAGTGTTGGTCCTGACCTTTAAAGCCCTAAACGGCCTTGGTCCAGTATATCTGAAGGAGCGTCTCCACCCCCATCGTTCTACGCGGACACTGAGGTCCAGCACCGAGGGCCTTCTGGCGGTTCCCTCACTGCGAAAAGCCCAAGTTACAGGGAACCAGGCAGAGGGCCTTCTTGGTAGTGGCGCCTTCCCTGTGGAACGCCCTCCCACCAGATGTCAAAGAGAACAACAACTACCAGACTTTTAGAAGACATCTGAAGGCAGCCCTGTTTAGGGAAGCTTTTAATGTTTGATGTATTATAGTATTTTAATATTTTTTGGAAGCCGCCCAGAGTGGATGGGGAGGCCCAGCCAGATGGGTGGGGTATAAATAATAAATTATTATTATTATTATTATTATTATTATTATTATTATGGCCCCACAAGAGCCTCTCACAGCCTACTAAGCAATGCAGTGAGCTTTAAAGCGATTTTCATGGAAGGATTAAGAGCACCATTTCTCACAAGAGCCTCCACATCCCAACAAGTACCGTATTTTTTGCACCATAACACTCACTTTTTTCCTCCTAGAAAGTAAGGGGAAATGTCTGTGCGTGTTATAGAGGGAATGCCTACGGGTGGCATGCCTACAGATTTTCCTCCTCTAAAAACTACGTGCGTGTTATGGTCGGGTGTGTGTTATAGAGCGAAAAATACGGTAATTGTTTCCTCTCCACTTCCTATTTAATTATTTATGATCCCCATCAAGCTGTGACTGTGTGAGTAAAATTAGCGTAAGTTGTGAGTCATCTGTATACGAAAGGGAGGCATCTGGATACTGAAAGAGGATAAATACATAAACCTTTCATTTTCCTGGCATTGCTAATATTACATATGACCTGGACACTTTCATGAACACTTTGAAATATCTAGTATAGAATCCTCACAGGCCTTCTTTACTACCTCTGAATTTCTTCATGACTCCCTCCAGGAAGGGATTTATATCTTTGAAGTCCCAGATCTTCCACTTCAGGGCAGGAGGAAAAGCCACAGGAGGATCCTCTAAGTTCTCCTTCTCCTGAGACCTGGGAGGAGAAGAACAAAGTCAAGCCTCCATCTTTCCAATGCAAGGAGCTTTCTGAAAAGGCAGGGGTCTCATCCTGATAATAAAGGCACAATGGATATATCATGAAGACTTGGGAGAAGAGTTCTTCCTATGGCAAAAAGGAGCATCTAGCGGATGTGTGGATCTAGAAAGCATCTAAGAAGTTGAAGGAAAACCGACACACACCTGCTTCCATAGTACATGGAAGGGAATATATGGAGATAAGACTGAATGTATGCAGATGAATTATTTAGAAGAAAAATAACAACACAAGGTCCTTAGAAAGAGTTCTAGAACTGCATCAGTTTTAGCGAAGCATTTCAAAGGATTAAAGTTATTAATACCTTTTAGCCCTGTGGTTACATTTAAAGTAGGGAGAAAGTAGTAACATAATGAGGCAGGGGTTTCCCATCACTTACCTCTGCAATAAGCTTCCAATATCCTGGAAAGAAAGAAAGAAAGAAAGAAAGAAAGAAAGAAAGAAAGGAAAGAAAGGAAGAAAGAAAGAAAGAAAGAAAGAAAGAAAGAAAGAAAGAAAGAAAGAAAGATGTCAGTGGAGCCACTTCTGCAGTCAGTTATAAATCCTAAGCAGCTGAGTGGCAACTGCTGGGAATCACAGGTTTGGAGAGCACTACTGTTTTTTAGGCTTCTCAGAGACCTCTGGTTGGCCAATGCGAGAACAGAATGCTAGAATGATGGAGCCTGTGGTTTGATCTAGAAGGGCCCCTTTTGCAACCCCTGTACTGACGCCTTTCACCCTTCATGTACTGTTTTCCATCCAGCAGCATTTTTATGTGATTAAGAAATGCCTGTAGTCTGAAGCATCACACTCCACCCTCTCGCATCAGGATGAGGCCTCACCTGCAGGAGTTCACTCGCTGGTTCCTGAAGCTTCTCCTCCATCTCCCGGATGAGGCTGTCAAGAGAGGAGAGTTCCCTGGAGAGTCTGGCCAGGTGCTCCTCCCTTTGGGCTGCAATCTCCTTCTCCACTTCTGCCATCTGGGCCAGAATACGTTTCTCCTGTTCTTCCAGAAACTGGCGCAGTCGCCTGAACTCAGCCACCATCTTTTCCCTCTCTGCACCTGTTTGTTTCTGCAGCAAAGAGATTGAAAGAAGAGAACAGTGGGCCAATATCAGGCATCTAGTCTGCTCTTGCAGGATGAAGAGGCCAGTCAACCAGATCTCCTTGGAAGGCCACTTCTGACATATTCAGCAGAGAAAGAGCTTCGTAAAAACTTTCAAGCCCACCCCCTCCTTTAAATGGTCTTTCATGCTCTGTGGGAGATAAGGCTGTTCAAAAAGAAACCACTTTCTCTATTCCATATTCATTTCCCCCGCAGAAGACCTTAAAAGAATCAATGATGCTTACAAGCAAGTCTTGACTTTCCTTTTCTGCGTCTGCTTTAAACACCAGAAATTTTTCTCTCTCCTTCTTCATGTTGTCTAGGCAGGTGCTGATCTGATCCTGAAAACAAATCAAAATCAAAGTTTGCTTGCTTTTTTCCTTGTTGGAATTCATAATAACAGGAAAGTTGAATCAGATGCTTGCTCCCTGCCCCAAAGACTGTGGTCTTTGCCTTCGTCATCCTGGGAGCCTGTGGCGCAATGGGTCAGTGTGTCTGGCTGTCAACCAGAAGGTTGGTGGTTCGAGCCCAACCAGGGATGGCTGTGGGCAGAATTCCTGCACTGCGGGGGGTTGGACTAGATGGCCCTCAGGGTCCCTTCCAACTCCACCATTCTGTGATTCAATCCCTGCCACCCAGTGGCATAGCGTGGGGGGTGCAGGGGGGGTGGCCGCACCGGGCGCAACATCTGGGGGTTAGGGTTAGGGGCGGCAAATCCACGGGTTAGGGGCGCAAATCCATTGGTTAGGGGGCACAAATTACTTGCCTTGCCCCGGGTGCTGACAACCCATGCTACGCCACTGCTGCCACCTCCATTGCTCCTCCCTCCAGCCCTTTCCTAAGGGAGCTGCTTCCAGAGGATGAACTGGGGGTGAGTTTCTCCTGCAGGGGGACATTAGGGGCACTGTAATCCCCTGCAAGGAAAAAAGAAATGTTTATTGAACAGAGTTTCCGAAGTTTAGTTTTTAGAAGGCTGCACAAAAGCTCCTGCTGGCGAGTGACTCTTTGGCTGCCCGAGGGGAGAATACATTAAAGCGTTTTCTTGCAAGACCCCCTTCTCTGTCGTTATTTCACCCTCACCATCCCCAAAGGAAACCCAGAGAGATTTCTCACCTTGTACTCCTGGGACGCCTCCTCCAGAGGAATCACCTCGTGGCTTTTGTGCTCCTTGGATACATTACACACGAGACAGATGGGGCTTTCGTCCTCCTTGCAGAAGAGCTTCAGGGGCTCCTGGTGCTTCCCGCAGACCCTCCCCTTTCCTTCGGCCCCCTTTTCCTCATGAAGACGGAGTTTCCCGACTGTAAGTTTTTCCACAACATTTGCCAGCGGCCGATTGGGGATGAGGTTCCTGTGCTGAAGGATTTCCCTGCACTGAGGGCAGGAAGCCTCTCCCTCAGATTCCCCCCAGCACTGGATCAGGCAGGCTCGGCAGAAGTTGTGCCCGCACTCCGGGATGATCACCGGATCCCTGAAATACTCCAGGCAGATGGGGCAAGTGGCTTCCTCGCAGAGATCCTGCACGGGACCCCCAGAAGCAGCCATGGCTGCTGCCTCACCAGGAAGAGAGAGTTGGTTTCGTTTTCTCTCTTTTGCGCCTGCAAATGGGCGTGTTTCCTTTCCAGGAAATTCAGACTTGATGGCTTGCTATCACAGCTGCCTGAAGAGAGGGGGAGTTCTCTGGGACACAGAGTCTTTGGGGCAAGGGAATTTATATATTAAAAAGAAAGGGGATAAATCCTGGCTGCCGATTTAAGGAGCCGTTTTCCAAGGAGAGGTGGAGGGAAGCGAGTTTTTTATGAGCTTCATGTCAGTCTCAGTTTTAGTTGGAAACCAGTCAATGAATCTGAATCTTGCAAGCCCCTCCCACCCAATGGCTCAAACTCACACGCCCTTTTCCAGCTGCAAGACACAAAAGTTCAGACTCCAAGGAGCATCGCAGCCGGAGCCCAACCCTCCCCTGTGATGCACATTCCCACGGGACAATTGAACACGAATCTGCAGCCCCTGAGAACATGGGATGGAGGCTGGGGGATTTCTAAGCTGCTCTCCAGATCCAGCGTCTTCCCAGTCCTGTCCACCCATTGGTCCCATCTCCAGCCCCTCTAACGGTCTTGGGGGGGGGAGAGATATCATTTCTTAAAAGGCTTTCCCAGGAGGATATATTTTATTGGGATGGGGGGAGAAAGTGGGCACAAGGATGTGGCATTTATTTCCTCTTTGCTCCACAGAAGAGATTAAAAAGACGACCTGCCTTCATTTCCTCTTCCCATTTCAGCAGTGGGACTATGTCAGAAATGTTCCTGTCATGTTCCCTCTCCTTGGCCATTGACCCTGGTCCTGGTTCTTCAGTTGTCTCACTGCCATGGCAGATAAGGCTGAGTCTCACTCACACAAAGGACTTGGAATACATGCTGAAGTTGCAGAGACAACATCAGAAAACGGTTTAATAAATCTCCCCACCACCCCTCTCTCTAAGGAGCCCTTGCAAGTTCAATAAAATCCTCCGGAATTCTCTCTTCAATCCCCTCCACAGCCCCATTGTCATTATTTATTCTGGCAAAAGTGGGTAGTATTTAAGTCCTGCTCAGAACAGACCCATTGAAGTCAATAGGCATGACTATCTTAGGCTCGTTCATTTCAATGGGCTTACTCTGAGTAGGACATACCTGGAACCAACCCAGAATGTATAGGATTGCTAGCCCTCCTAGCCCAGATGTTTCTCCCATGCATTTCAGGAGAATCCACCAGAATTCTCTCTTCTCCACCTGGCAGGTTCTGCTCCACCAAACCTGCTGAAGGGGAGAACTTGGCTTTCCAGAGACCCTTTTTCTCACAACCCTCACAATCATGAAGATATGTGTTATTTGCACAGGCCCTGTGGCGGCAGCAGGTCAGGTCAGTGGGGAAGTGTTTCTGGGACTGCCAGAACACAACATCATGCTATGAGGAACCTCCTGGCACAGAGGCAGTCTACCTCTGAATAAGCTGAAGCTGTGGAGGCGAACAATAGGAAAGGGCTTTTGGTCTCAAACCCTCCTTTGTCTCAAGAGGCAGGTAGGTAGCCGTGTTGGTCTGCTGTAGTCAAAATAAAAAAAAACAAAAAATTCTTGAAAAAGATAATTTAAAAAACTCTTTTAGAAAAAAAATCCTCCAAAAGAATCAAGTCCTTTTTTAAAAAACTTTTTTTTCTAAAAAAACCTTCTTAAAATAATCCTTCCAAAAATTGTTCAGTAGCACCTTTGAGACCACCTAAGTTTGTTGTAGGTATGCACTTTAATCTACATGCACACTTCTTCAGAAGTCACCAGACCGGTGTATTTGTGTGTGTTTGTGTGTGTGTAGTGAGAGGGTGGGGTGGGGTATTTCTCAGAAGGGTGGTGGGAATGGGAGCTTGGCTAATAGGTGTGGTAAACCTGTTGATGAGACAGCAATTGGTCTTGCAGGAAAAAGCTTCAGTGTATCTGAAGAAGTGTGCATGCACAGGAAAGCTCATACCCTCAACAAACTTAAGTGGTCTCAAAGGTGCTACTAAACAATTTTTGGAAGGATTCTTTTAAGGACTTTTTAAGGGATTTCTTTTTTTTAAAGACTTGATTCTTTTGGAGGAATTTTTTTTCTGGAGGAGTTTTTTAAATTATCTTTTTCAAGAATTTTTTTGTTTTTTTATTTTGCCTTTAAGTGGGTGTGCAAGTCAGTGGCCAACACCACACAGTGTGCTGTGTGAAGAAGAGAATCACCAAAACCTGTGAGCTAATCCTTTTCGTCAATCTATAAAAACATAGGCACTCCTATGTCTACTCAAAAGTAAATCCCATTAAGTTCAAAGGGACTTACTCCCAGGGAAGTGGGCCCGGGGCTGTAGCTTTAATTTCCTCTTCGCTCCATAGAGCTCAATTAGAAAGACTCACTTCGTCTTCTCATTTGAGAATCAGCTTTTGGGTGGCAGAAATGAGGAAATGAAGGTGAAATGGTTAAGTAACAAAGTGGGGGCAGCGGCAAACTATTGCTGTGGGGTTCAGATGGGATATCACCCTGTTTATAATCCTGGGGGAAAGTGTCGTGTGGGGTGGATAGGGCCATTATACCATCGAGTCTGAAATAACATAGGAGCAACAATAAGTAGCATCTTTAATAAAATCAAGCAAGTTAACAGATGAAGCATATTTCCACATTTGTTCAGGCAAGTTACACAAAAGGATGAGAGGGGATCTCTAAAAACATGTAGAGTCATACCTCTAGATATGTTGCCTTCGGGTAACATAATTTCATGTTATGGACAGTGGCAAACCTGGAAGTCCCAGAATTGTTTACTTCCAGGTTTCGCTGTTTGTGCATGCGCAGCAGCTCGAAATTGCGCCGCGTGCATGCGCAGACACAGCACTTCATCTTATGGACGCTTCGGGCTGTGGGTGTGCCTCCCTGTGATGGCCTGGGACTCGGGCTCGGACTCAGAACCAGAGGAGTCTCAGTCCGCACCAGATCCTTTGCCTCAGGCGGCATTAAACCAAGTCTGGGGCCTGATTCTGAAGAGCCCCAGTCTGCACAGGTTCCCCTGCAACAAGCACCAGCTGGGCTGAGTCAGGGGCCTGAGCCTGCCCTGGCTCCAGATGCGGGGATGACCTCGTTGCCTTCAGCTGGGCCATCACTTACAGCTGCTCCACTACCGGTTGGGTCAGGGGAAGCTGAGGTGGCCTCTGGGTCTAGTACAGGGGTCTGCAACCTTTAAGACAAAAAGAGCCACTTGGACCCGTTTCCGAAAAAACAACAACAACTGGGAGCCGCAAAAACATTGCAACATTTAAAACAAATATAACACTACATATATTGTTTCTGGCCTTAATGCTATATATACAGGATCGTGCAGTCAGCTGTCAATCTCAAGAAAAAAGGACAAATTAATAGCTAATTAAAATATTTAATTTACAACCAGGTAACCAGGTTAATGGGACTTTTGCTCCTGAACCTCAGTGCTCAGTGTCTGCACATCAGGGCTGTAAGACGTCACCTTCATTTTCACACAGGCTTGCAAGCTGTCATCTGTGAGGCGTGATCGGTGCTTGTTTTTAATATAGTTCATGTTGGAGAAGACCTGCTCACATACATATGTGGAAGAGACCACAAGGGCCATCGAGTCCAACCCCCTGCCAAGCAGGAAACACCATCAGAGCACTCCTGACATATGGTTGTCAAGCCTCTGCTTAAAGACCTCCAAATAAGGAGACTCCACCACACTCCTTGGCAGCAATTCACCAAACTTTCACCTGCTTAAGATTAAAAAGGGGCTTCAAGCAACTAAAAAGGGGCTTCAGGCAACTAACTCCACGTGGAATTCCACGCGACCGCGACTGCATAATCAATGCCACAAAATGCCAAAGAAAATTAACCAGGGCCCCAGTGAACCATAAATCATAATCAGTGCCTGATGTAAATAATAATTAATAATGAGGGCCCAATGTCATCCTCATCATTATAAAAATAATCCCTCTCTTCGTGCCGCCCAGCCTCCCAAGAAAAAAAACCCACTTCAAACGGTCACAAAGCACAAATTCCACGCGACCGCGACTTGCTATGCCCAATAATCAATGCCCCAAAATGCCATAGAAAATTAATCAGGGCCCCAGTGTACCATAAATCATAATCAGTGCCTGATGTAAATAATAATTAATAATGAGGCATTCGTCATTATAAAAATACCGTATTTTTCGCCCCATAGGACGCTCCGTCCCATAGGACGCACCTAGTTTTTTTGGGGGGGAAATAAAGGGGGAAAAATTTCCCTTTATTTCCCCCCCAAAAGCAGGTCGGGGAAACTGAACCAGGTCGAGGAACAGCGGGATGGCGGCGCTTCGCCTCCCTGCTGTCCCCCGAGCTTGTGGGGCTGGCCGATGCCTGCGGGGCGGCAGGCTGCTATCCGCAGCGTGGGGAGCCTTGCCGGGAAGTCCGGCAAGGCTCCCCACGCTGCGGATGTCTGCCTGGCAAGGGGGGCGCTCTGCTTTAGGGCGCCCCGCCCGCCGGGCAGCAGGCTGCTATCCGCAGGGTGGGAAGCCTTGCCGGGACCTCCGGCAAGGCTCCCCACGCTGCGGATGTCTGCCTGGCGAGGGGGGCGCTCTGCTTTAGGGCGCCCCGCCCGCCGGGCAGCAGGCTGCTATCCGCAGCGTGGGAAGCCTTGCCGGGACCTCCGGCAAGGCTCCCCACGCTGCGGATGTCTGCCTGGCGAGGGGGGCGCTCTTCTTTACGGCGCCCCGCCCGCCGGGCGGCAGGCTGCTATCCGCAGCGTGGGGAGCCTTGCCGGGACCTCCGGCAAGGCTCCCCACGCTGCGGATGTCTGCCTGGCGAGGGGGGCGCTCTTCTTTACGGCGCCCCGCCCGCCGGGCGGCAGGCTGCTATCCGCAGCGTGGGGAGCCTTGCCGGGACCTCCGGCAAGGCTCCCCATGCTGCGGATGTCTGCCTGGCGAGGGGGGCGCTCTGCTTTAGGGCGCCCCGCCCACCGGGCGGCAGGCTGCTATCCGCAGCGTCGGGAGCCTTGCCGGGAAGTCCGGCAAGGCTCCCCACGCTGCGGATGTCTGCCTGGCGAGGGGGGCGCTCTGCTTTACGGCGCCCCGCCCGCCGGGCGGCAGGCTGCTATCCGCAGCGTGGGGAGCCTTGCCGGGACCTCCGGCAAGGCTCCCCACGCTGCGGATGTCTGCCTGGCGAGGGGGGCGCTCTGCTTTACGGCGCCCCGCCCGCCGGGCGGCAGGCTGGTCACCTCCGCCCCTCGCCTCCGCCCCTCGCCTCCTCCCCTCGCCACCGCCCCGGAGCCGCAGCAAAGGCTTTAAAGAGCCGCATGCGGCTCTGGAGCCGCAGGTTGCCGACCCCCGGTCTAGTAACTCACGACATGTCCCGAGCTGCAGAGACAAAGGTCTGAGAGAAGGAGAGACCCGAGTACTGGCAGGAGGAGTGCTCGCCTTGGGGCGAGACAGGGAGGTGAGTCACCGGGGGATTAGGACCGGTTACCCCGACAAAGATAAAAGGCTGTCAGACCCCACCCCAGCTTGTGGGAGTAACATTGTTGTTTGCTAGAACCTGCCTGAGACCCTGTGCCTGACCTAGCCTTGTTTCCTGCCTCGTGTCCTGCCTCAGCCCTGTCGGACTGTCTCCTCGTGGAATCCTTGGATTCTGGACTGGACCTGGACCACATTGCTCAGGTTAACCCCCGGGCCCAGTACACTCCCGAACAGATTACGTCCACAACCTGAGGCACCACTGTAGATGTTTCTGATTGTTTGCAAGAAGTCACCTTAGAGAAAAGAATTGTATAAATGGGAATTTACTACCACTCCCTGAAATCCCCCAAATTGACTCTGTTCTGTCCTTGGAACTGTCAGAGGCTCTTTCATTCTGGGGATTAGCAAGACAAGTCAGGGAGACCCCTGCAAATGCTTTGAGGAACCTTTCCTGGAGGTCAGTAAGCAAGGCGGAGGGCTCAGAAACTCTTTTCAGAGCAGGATTTGGGCACCAAAATTGTGAGCCTCCATCTTGCTTTCTGGGCTCTGGAGGTTCGTGTGAGATCTCACATGGCCCCTTCTGACAGTCACCGCCCCCAGTCTCCCAAACTCTATTTATTTATTTTTGTTTTGACAAAATGGGATTTTGGTTGAGACGACTGAAATGTCATCATGGTGATGAATTGTTGGCGTGAGGGTGAGCGTTCATTCTTTCCAGAACTAACTGGAAGTTCTTGAAGATTCCAGAGAATTCTGGAAATTGCTAGAAGCTGTCAGAAAGCCGGACCTTTCATCAAGGCCACATCTGTGAGAGGAGCTGCTTCAGTTCTAACAGAAGCTATATAAAAACTGTGTTTAGTCCGCATTTATCTGGCAAGCTGACAGAATGCAAGAAAGGGATGTGGGTCGCAAAAAGCAAAGCCCGGAAAACTCTAACTAAGAAACGCTTCAGCAGACAAACTGAAAAAGGGAACCATTATGCTTTTGACCCGGTAGTAAAATATTTCTGTCTGTGCTTAATTGCCTCTGTGAGTTACTGCCTTCGTTGTCTGGGTCAGAGCTCCTGAAGCGCTTTGATGCTGCACATCTCGCTGCTGATTTAGGACTGCTGGCACTGAGAAGCATACTTAGCAGTGAACTGGGAAGCTTGTCTGTCTCTACACTCAAGAGACTGTCAGGTGGCCTTTGGTGAACATGTAAAAGAAGGGTTGGAGGGTCTCTCCTGAGAAGGAGGCTGCTGAGAATGAGTGGAGAAGGGCTGCTGTATCTGCATCGTAAAAGGACACCCGTCCCCCTTCACAGTTCAGGGCCACTCGGATCCTCTTGGGCTTCCCACCCACCATCAAAACAGGGGGCCCATCGTAGGTGGAGACCCTGTACTGATCACCCCACTTCCCTATGCGCCAGATCCCTTCCTTAGGACCAACAATGAACTTGCCTTTCCTCTTCACAGATTCTCTGGCCACCCCCACGGCCCATTCCCCCTTGCTCCCCACAAAGACATCCCAGAAACACCTGTCTTCCCTGAACGCCTCACTTCCCAGCACATAGAAATGTCTGTCAAATCTCTCAGGGATGTCTGTCAGCTCTTTTACGCAGCTAGGACCCAAAGAGAAAAGGCCCTTCCTCTTCATAGGCTTTAGGGCAACCATCCACTTCCTCCTCTCCTCTCTTCCCACAGTGACCTCCCAGAAATGTCTGCCTGATGTAAAACCCTCACATCCCAGCACATAGCCATGCATGTCAAATCTCTCAGGGTTGTCTGGCAGGTCTTGATAGACTTCCCCCCATCTCACACTCTTGCGATCCTCAGACAGGATGAGCCGGGGATTTGCTGTGTCTGGATCCAAAGTTACGTTTTCTGTGGGGGCAGAGGAGGAAAGAGAAGAAAAACAACCTCAACTGGAACCTGACTTTTCATTAGGCACATGACAGAAATAGCATCCCCTCTGAAATGAACAGGGTCTCCATGGATCTGCATTCGAGAGAGGAATGTTCATCAAGTTCTTAGTAAGGTTTCTTGAAACATTTGCAGTTCTTTCAAGTGTTTGAAGTACTTAGCGCACATTATCTACATAGAACCCTTGCAACGACTCTGTAAGTTGAGTCAATCTTACTATGCCCATTTTTCAGATGGGAGGACTGAGGCTGATAGACAGTGGCTTGTCTAAGGCCACCCCCACCCCCCACAGTTCATAGCAGAAGGGAGTCAAAATAGGGACTCCCTAATTCACATCTTAATCTTTTACCTCACGTCGCATTACAGACCACGCTTGACATGCCAGGTAAATCTGGCAGCAGGTGCTCTCACCCTCCTTGTAACCACCATTCAGGTTTCAGTTGTATATTTAAAGTATGTTATACTCCATCCTTCCAGGTAGTGGATAAAAAGCAAGAAAGTGGTTAGGTTACCCCGCCCCCCGTGTGAAATGTCCTACTTGGGACTCATGACAGCACATCAAAGATTCATAGTGTTGGAAGGGACCCCAAGGGTCATCTAGTCCAACCCCCTGCAATGCTGGAATCTCAACTAAAGCACCCATGACAAATGGCCGTCCAACCTCTGCTTAAAAACCTCCAAGGAAGGAGAGCCCACCCCCTTCCGAGGGAGAACGTTCCACGTTGTGCAAAATTCACAAACCGGAACACCTACTTCCGGGTTTGCAGTGTTCTTTTTCCAAGTTGTTTATAAACTAAGTGTTCCAAAACCAAGGTACCACTGTATATAAAATCAAACCAAAAGCAATAACCCAATAACGCCCCCCCAAAACCCCACATTCTAAAAGGGTGTTGGATATCAATAAGATCAACCAAAGGCCTGATTAAAAAGGAACATGGTTGCCTGGTGCCTAAAGGTGTGTAATGTAGATGCTAGGCAAACTTCCCTGGGGAGAGTATTCCACAGATGGGGAGCCACTGCAGGGAAGGCCCTGTTCTTGTGTTGCCACCCTCTGAACCTCGAGGAAGAGGCACACGAAGAAGGGCCTCGGAAGATGATCTCAGGGTCCGGGAAAGTTTGTGTGGAAAGAGGCGGTCCTTGAGACATTGTGGTCCTGAACCATTTAAGGCTTTATAGGTCAAAACCAGCACTTTGAATTGGGCCCAGAAACTAATTGGCACCAACTTAAGTTTCTGAACCGTCTTCAGGCGCAGCCCTACGTATAACGCTTTGCAGTAATCTAACCATGAGGTTACCAGAGCATAGACCACAGTAGTTAGGCTATCCCTGTCCAGATAGGGGTGTAGCACTCTGGGCCACTGAGGCCACCTGAGCCTTGAGTGACAGCAAAGGATCCAGGAGGACCCCTAAGCTACAAACCTGCTCCTTCAGAGGAAGTGTAACCCCATCAAGAGCAGGCAACCTCCCAGCCATACCTTTTCCAGCTCTTATGATTCCCTTTTTGTGGTGTCCAGGATCAGGCCAGACTGGACTTCTGTCTTCCCATTGAGCCTTTCCCCCTGGTCTGTGGTGCAATTCTGCCCTGCTCTGCCCGGCTCTTTTAGGTTTACTCAAGTTTCTCTTGTTTTAGCAGAGAAGCCATGTCTCCGCTCCAATACAAGACCCCCAATCTTGCAGGGAAGCCGGACCACTGGAGTTCACACTCAGGCAGCCCCCACCTCCCTCCACTGACACCAGAACCCATTCACCTTCTCGCCCCCAAAGCCTGTTGCAGCCATTTTCTGAGCTATTTGTGTTCATGCGTTTCCCACTCTTACACCTTACTCTTACATAAACTCTCCTAAAAGGGTTGTGGATCTGGTATGGATCAAAGGGATATTTCCCCCTCATGTGCCGGGAGCCTTTGGCTTCACACCACCCCTGTGTCTTATTGAGATTGGGCACAGAAAAGCCAGGCATCCTGGGCTGGGGGCTTCCTAAGAGTCTGCAGGATCAGGCCAAGAGCCCCTCTAGCCCAGCAAGCTGCTCTCACGGAACAGATGCCTCTGGGAAATAAGGGGAAATAAGGCATGGATGGAAGAGCTGCAGTGGCCCTGGTCTTTTGAGAAGCGGATACCATCTCTCCTGAATTAGTGCCTCTGTTTGATTCAGAAATGGCTGAATAAACTCAGCCAGATGAGCGGGGTATGAATTAATAATAATAATAATAATAATAATAATAATAATAATAATAATAATAAAATAATGTACCTTTTCGCAGCTTAAGTCCATATTCCACAGTGTCTGGAAGAGAAAAGGGAACAGAGATTTACCATCACACCATCATTCAGATAACAAATCTGGAAAGAACAATATGAGCTCATGAGATTGTAGCCAGGTGTTGTGGACTACAAGACCCATCATCCCTAACCACTGGCCACGCCAGCTGGAGATTATGGGAGTTGTAGTTAAAGCTATCTGAAGCTCTCCATACTGGCTACCCCTGCATAACCAGGGCAGGGGTGATGTCAAGGTTCAGGCCTGCCCAAATCTTGGGAGGAGGAGCAGGACCCCCAGAAGATCACCCCATCAGCAACAAGATCCAGACACCCCTGTTCCAGGATGGGAGGCCTCAACCCCAGTCCCCTCTGCTCCTGGCTGGCTCCTGGACAGCCCCCCTCCTTCTGCCCCCTTTACATCAATCTCAGGGGCAAAGGAACAGAGGAGATGCCCAAAAAGCTGTAGGTGAGGCTACCTGGGAAATGGGTGAGATGCGTGAAAGCACCCAAAGCCTGGCTGAGAGATGGGAAGGGGGCAAGGACAACTTTTTACAGACAACTTGTAATCGTGCAAAGTCAGAATGACCCCGGAATCACCCCTGCCATCTGAGATCCCAAGGCGGCCCCATGAGATTTTGCAGGAGCCTCTCAGAGTCCTGTAAACATGGCAGAGGTCTTAAAAGTGATTTGTATGGTGGCCAAACCCTTCCTCGCAAGAACTTTTATTTTATTTTTTTATAAGATATTTATTACCATTTTTACACAACAAACATAACAAACAGAAAAGATCAAAGTAAGATTATAAGAAAAAGTAGAAATAGAAACAGAAAATACAAATAAAATAGAGTTGTTCATAAATCATATTTTCATAATCTTTAGACTTCCTCACATCCCCCTTCCCTGCGTTCTCAATCATGTGGTTATATGCAGCAATTTGTTACCTTAGTTCCATTCTTATTTTATAACTCTCAAATATTCTATTCCCGCTTTGAAGTGTTTTTACCATAAATTAAACTGCTAGATTTGAGCATAGTATTACTTCAAATTTCGTCATTTCCTTGAACATCACTTATTCTCATATGTCTTACAATAAATTTACTGCTGCCGTGTTTCTCTCGATTGTGCATTCTCCTAGCATTCATACAATTTGTAATGTTTTTGTAAATAGTCTTTAAATTTTTTCCAGTCCTCTTCCACCGTCTCTTCTCCCAGGTCTCGAATTCTGCCAGTCATTTCAGCCAACTCCATATAGTCTATCAGTCGCGTCTGCCATTCTTCCAGTGTGGGTAAATCTTTGGTCTTCCAATACTTTGCGATGAGTATTCTTGCTGCTGTTGTTGCGTACATAAAAAAAGTTTTATCTTTCTTTGACACTCCTTGGCCGACAATGCCCAGAAGGAAGGCCTCTGGTTTCTTAAGGAAGGTATACTTAAATACCTTTTTTAACTCATTATAGATCATTTCCCAGAAAGCCTTAACCCTTGGGCACGTCCACCAAAGGTGAAAGAATGTTCCTTCAATTTCCTTACATTTCCAACATTTGTTATCAGGCAAATGATATATTTTTGCCAGCTTGACTGGGGTCATGTACCACCTGTATATCATTTTCATAATGTTTTCTTTCAAGGCATTGCATGCCATGAACCTCACTCCGGTGGTCCATAACTTTTCCCAGTCAGCGAACATAATATTATGCCCAATGTCCTGTGCCCATTTTATCATAGCTGATTTGACAGTTTCATCCTGCGTATTCCATTTCAACAGCAAGTTATACATTTTTGAAAGTACCTTAGTCTTAGGTTCTAACAGTTCTGTTTCTAGTTTCGATTTTTCCACCTGGAAACCTATTTTTTTATCTGCCTTAAAGACCTGCCTAATCTGAGCATAGTGTAACCAGTCTCGCACTTTATCCTTTAATTTCTCAAAACTCTGCAATCTCCAAGTACAGTGGTGCCTCGCAAGACGAAATTAATTCGTTCCGCAAGTTTTTTCTTCTTGCGAGTTTTTCGTCTTGCGATGCACGGTTTCCCATAGGAATGCATTGAAAATCAATTAATGCGTTCCTAGGGAAACCACCTTCAGACCAGGTCCGGGGACAGTCTGTTCCCCGACCTCTTCTGAAGGCTGGGGGGGGGAGAACAAGGGCTTTTTCCCCACTGCCAGCCTTCAGAAGGCTGTTCTGAAGGCTGGCGGTGGGGAAAAAAGCCCTTCTTCCCACCTCCCGCCCCGCAAGCTCCGGGGACAGGAGGGCTTTGCTGCCGACCGCCAGCATTTTAAAAGCCCCTGCTGTCCCGGGGCGATTTTAAAATGCTGGCGGGCGGGAGCGAAGTCTCTGCTGTCCCGGGGAGATTTTAAAATGCTGGGGGGCGGGAGCGAACGCTTCGCTCCCGCCCGCCAACATTTTAAGATCGCCCGGGGCAGCAGAGACTTCTCGCCCAAAGCAAGGGGAGCTCTCCGGAGGGCTCCCCGTGCTTCGGGTGACAGGCTGCCGCCCCAAGCCTCGCGCACCCGGTGGGACCTCCTGCCGGGTGCGCGAGGCTTGCAGACACTCGCCCGAAGCAGGGGAAGCCCTCCGGAGGGCTCCCCGTGCTTCGGGCGACAGGCTGCCGCCCCAAGCCTCGCGCACCCGGCGGGACCTCCTGCCGGGTGCGCGAGGCTTGCAGACACTCGCCCGAAGCAGGGGAAGCCCTCCGGAGGGCTCCCCGTGCTTCGGGTGACAGGCTGCCGCCCCAAGCCTCGCGCACCCGGTGGGACCTCCTGCCGGGTGCGCGAGGCTTGCAGACACTCGCCCGAAGCAGGGGAAGCCCTCCGGAGGGCTCCCCGTGCTTCGGGTGACAGGCTGCCGCCCCAAGCCTCGCGCACCCGGCGGGACCTCCTGCCGGGTGCGCGAGGCTTGCAGACACTCGCCCGAAGCAGGGGAAGCCCTCCGGAGGGCTCCCCGTGCTTCGGGCGACAGGCTGCCGCCCCAAGCCTCGCGCACCCGGCGGGACCTCCTGCCGGGTGCGCGAGGCTTGCAGACACTCGCCCGAAGCAGGGGAAGCCCTCCGGAGGGCTCCCCGTGCTTCGGGTGACAGGCTGCCGCCCCAAGCCTCGCGCACCCGGCGGGACCTCCTGCCGGGCGCGCGAGGCTTGCAGCCTGTCGCCCGAAGCAAGGGGAGCTCTCCGAAGGGCTCCCCGTGCTTCGGGTGACAGGCTGCCGCCCCAAGCCTCGCGCACCCGGCGGGACCTCCTGCCGGGTGCGCGAGGCTTGCAGACACTCGCCCGAAGCAGGGGAAGCCCTCCGGAGGGCTCCCCGTGCTTCGGGCGACAGGCTGCCGCCCCAAGCCTCACGCACCCGGCGGGACCTCCTGCCGGGTGCGCGAGGCTTGCAGACACTCGCCCGAAGCAGGGGAAGCCCTCCGGAGGGCTCCCCGTGCTTCGGGCAACAGGCTGCCGCCCCAAGCCTCGCGCACCCGGCGGGACCTCCTGCCGGGCGCGCGAGGCTTGCAGACACTCGCCCGAAGCAAGGGGAGCTCTCCGAAGGGCTCCCCGTGCTTCGGGTGACAGGCTGCCGCCCCAAGCCTCGCGCACCCGGTGGGACCTCCTGCCGGGTGCGCGAGGCTTGCAGACACTCGCCCGAAGCAGGGGAAGCCCTCCGGAGGGCTCCCCGTGCTTCGGGCGACAGGCTGCCGCCCCAAGCCTCGCGCACCCGGCGGGACCTCCTGCCGGGCGCGCGAGGCTTGCAGACACTCGCCCAAAGATTTTAAAATGCTGGGGGTCGGGAGCGAAGCGTTCGCTCCCACCCGCCAGCATTTTAAGATCGCCCGGGGCAGCGGAGAAGTCTCCGCTGTCCCGGGAAGGCAGGCGGGGGGGAGCAAAGACTTTTGCCCCCCGCCGACCTTCAGAAGAGGTCCAGGACCTCTTCTGAAGGCCGGCTGTGGGCGAAAGTCTTTGCTCCCGACCGCCAGCAATTTAAAACAGGTCCCCGGAGATTTCCCTATGGGCTTTCGTCTTGCGAAGCAAGCCCATAGGGAAATTCGTCTTGCGAAGCGGCTCCAAAACAGAAAACCCTTTCGTCTTGCGGGTTTTCCGTCTTGCGAGGCATTCGTCTTGCGGGGGTACCACTGTATCTCCTTCTTTTTCTATTATTTCCCAATATTTCGGCCAATTGGCCTCCATATTGAGTCTTTTCTGGGCCTTGGCTTCCATTGGTGACAGCCACCTTGGGGTCTTCCTGGCAAGAACTTTTAAGCCCTTTACCTTGCTGACTGGAATCTGGGAGGCTCCCCCAAGATCTCGCAGGAGCTTCCAGACCCCAGCAAGAAGGAGTTACCGTCCATTTCAATTGCCTAAGTAAAATCAGTTGTGAATCATCTACATATGAAAGTGTGGCTTTTAGATATTGAAAGAAAATAAATAAGCCTTCTATTTTCCTGGCACTGCTAATGAGCTGGAGCCTTTCATGAACAATTTTAAATATTTTCAACCCATCTTTACTACCTCTTAATTTCTTCATGACTCCCTCCAGGAAGGGATTTATATCGCAGAAGTCCCAGATCTTCCACTTCAGGACAAGAGGAAAAGCCACCGGAGGAGCCTCTAAGTTCTCCTTCGCTTGAGACCTGGGAGGAGAAGAACAAAGTCAAGCCACCATCCTTCCAACGCAAGGAGCTTTCTGACAAGGCAGGGGTCTCATCCTGATGATAAAGGCACCATGGATATATCATGAAGACTTGGGAGCAGAGTTCTTCCTATGGCAAAAAGGAGCATCAAGGTGACATCTGAATCTAGAAAGTATCTAAGAAGTTGAAGGAAAACTGACACACACCTGCGTTCAAAGCATTTTGAATGAAATATATGAAGAGGAAACTGAAGATAAAGAAGCTGATATATGCACAATTTTTTTTGGCAGAAAAATGAACCATACTGGATCCTTACGCAGAGATTTTAAGACTACACCAGATTTAGTGAGGCATTTCAAGTGATTAATGAGCAAAATAAAATAGATTTGGTATGTGCATTTCTGAAATATAAGGAAGTTCAGAATGCTTTAGAATGGCTTTTGCAATTAACATTATAAATGTGTTTTAGCACAGTGGTTATATTTTACAAATGGACAAAAAAATAAAAAGTAAAGCAGTATGCTCCGAACATGGGAGGGTTTGTAGTTGTCTGGAGGACAAGCCTCTCAGCGGCTGCTATTCGCGATGGCTGGTCAAAGGCCTCGGTGCCTCTGAAACCACAGGAGGGAAGTGTCTTCTGCTGTGGGTTTCAAACTGGCATCTGCTTAGTCACTGTGAAAACAGGATGCTAGACTTGATGGGCCACTGGCCGGATCCAGCAGGGCCCTTTCTCACATTTTTATGTCTGAGGAAGAACCTGCAGAAGCCTGAAATACGTCAAATATTTATGGGTAAATTATAGTGAATATATTTACAAGCACCTTTGGGATGTCCCCGCTTTTTGTATCAATTGCAGAATAAATGAATCTATCATGGAGAAGGGCTTTCAGAGATGTGTAATGGGAACAGCTTTGTTCCCGTGTTTATAGATGAGACCAATTGCAACAAATGACTGTGAAAACGTGTCCCTATTTTTGTTTGTGATTTTGTGAAATGGACGATGGAGTCCTAAGCTATCTCTGGATGGAGGAACTGGAACTCTGGACGTTTTTCACCCGTTAAACAGGAACTTTCCCAATACAGTATCTTAAAGCAGCAGATTTCCATCACTTACCTCTGCAAGAAGCTTCTGATATCCTGGAAGGAAAGAAAGAAAAAGATATGCGTGGAGCCATTTCTGCGGTCAGTTATAAATACTAAGCAGTTGAAGTGGAGAGTGGTTAGCCAAGCACAAAACCAAAGACCCCCAATAAAATACGCAGTGCCACAAAATTTTGGAATAACCATCAGATGACAAAAGTCAGCCACTCCAGTGATGACTAATAAAAGGTCCCTTTCTTCTCTTTTGACCAAGTCACCTGAACACCTGAGATTCAATCCCACCTCCCTGATTTGCCATTTTGCCCTGCAGTGCATGCTGGTTCCGTGTTCACCTGCGACCAATCGGTTCACTGCTATGTACATCCCACACTCAATCATATCCTGGGAACCACACTGAGACCTGTGGGTATAGGGTGGTACACAAACTTATTTTAATAATGATAATAATGATAACAATAATAATAATAATAGGTCACCCCCTCTCTGGCTGGACCCAAGACAGCATCTGAATGAAAAAGTGATGCAGTGCCAATTTGGAATGCCTGTGTTGGAGGCAGTATCGGTTGTATTCAACTCGCTTTTACTCAGGCACACTGAAATGAATGAACCTAAGATAGTAATCCCCATTAATTTCAATTGTCTACTCTGAGGAAAGATTAATTGAATACAGAGCTCTAGTTGCTTGTGGGCTTCCCAGAGACCTTTGGTTGGCCAATGCGAGTACAGGAAGCAGGAAGGAAAGGGCCCGTGGTTTGATCTAGCAGGGCCCTTCTTGTCAGCTCAGGGGTGACAACTTGAACAAAATATTTTTTTGGGGGGGGGGGACATAATCAATCAGAAGATGCAGTACAAACACACCATTTCAATAGAAGTGCCCATTATTTATGGGGGGGGTCTGGCCCCCTCAAATATTTTACTGGGGCGTCCAAGGAACCTCAGCCCCTCAGAGTTGGCTCCTATGCTGACACCTTTTACCATTCATGTACTGTTTGTTTCTCTTACAACAGTATTTTTATGTGGGGAAGGACTAAGAAATGCCTGTAGTCTGAAGCAGCACATGCCACCTTCTCGCATCAGGATGAGGCCTCACCTGCAGGAGTTCACTCGCTGGTTCCTGAAGCTTCTCCTCCATCTCCCGGATGAGGCTGTCAAGAGAGGAGAGTTCCCTGGAGAGTCTGGCCAGGTGCTCCTCCCTTTTCTTTGCAATCTCCTTCTCCACTTCTGCCATCTGGGCCAGAAGAAGCTTCTCTTTTTCTTCCAGAAACTGGCGCAGTCGCCTGAACTCAGCCACCATCTTTTCCCTCTCTGCTTGCATTTGCTTCTGCACCAGCAAAAACAGGAAAAGGAAGAGAATACATCAGATATCTAGTCTGCTGTTGCATGATAAAAAGACCAGAATTCACTTGGAAGGGCATGTCTGTCATTTTAGAGAGATCACGGCAGTAGGAAGAGAGTTTCATAAAAATCTACAAGCCCATCCCCTCCTTCAAATGGTCTTTCCATGCCCTGTATTTCAGTTTCCTCACATACTGATTCTAGACCATGGGTAGGCAAACTAAGGCCCAGGGGCCAGATCCGGCCCAACTGCCTTCTGGATCTGGCCCACGGATGGTCTGGGAATCGCCGCGTGGATCTGATTCTGATCATTTGGGCTGCGCCATTTCCCCCTCCCTCACACACACCACGGTGGCGCCTCCTCCTCCCTTCTCCCCGCCCTGCCTAGAGCTGAGAGCAGTGGCGGAGGAGGGAGGAAAGCAGGGAGAGGGGCTGGGGGAGAGGGGGGGAAGTGAAGCCCCCCTTCACCGGATCCCCGTCGCCCAGGCCTGAGGTCGACCCCCGATTACATCTCCTGTCAGTCTCCAGATATGTATGTGTGTGTGTGTCTGTGTGTAGTTTGGCCTGCCACAAGATCTGAGGCACAGTGAACCGGCCCCCTGCTGAAAAAGTTTTCTGACTATAGCACTTTTTCACTTCCAAGAAACAGTGATGCCTACAAGCAGGTCTTGGCTTTCCTTTTCTGCATCTGCTTTAAACACCAGAATTTTCTTTCTCTCCTTTCTCATGTTGTCTAGGCAGCTGCTGATCTGATCCTGAAAAGAAAACAAAATTAGATAGATTAGATTAGATAGTGAAGGGGTACAGTTAGGGTTACCCCAGAAAGCTCTAAAAACTGTTTGTGAATTCCCCCCCCCCCCAGCCAGGCCTCGGAGTACGCATTTTAAAAACTGCATTTTCCTCTAAGACAAAAAACATGAGCTAAGCAGTCCTCTCTGTAACAAAAACGCTGTAACAAACCCAGAGCTGAGAACAGTAAAGCTTTTCGCTTCCCAGATCCAAGATAACCTTGTCCTGGTACATTGATTTGCAACATACTTCTGGGAACAGAGTCAGAGAACGAAAAGCAACATTTCTATGTAAGAATCTGTGAAGGGGGAGAGGAAAAAAGGGGTTTGAAAAAAGGATAAAGCCTGCTTGTAAAATGTTTTCGGTGCAGCCTGTCTTTTGCGAACTGAATCACACAGGTGCCTCTGCCCCCCCCATGGCAGAATAAAACGCTCTTTCTCTGGATTAACCCCTTGGTGTCGTTTGGCTCCTTTTGTCTCTGCTCGGGTGCTAAATGATAGATAGATAGATAGATGATAGATAGATAGATAGATAGATACCATATTTTTTGCTCTATAAGACTCACTTTTCCTCTCCTAAAAAGTAAGGGGAAATGTGTGTGTGTCTTATGGAGCGAATGCAGGCTGCGCAGCTATCCCAGAAGCCAGAACAGCAAGAGAGATTGCTGCTTTCACTGCTCAGTGATCCATCTTGCTGTTCTGGCTTCTGAGATTCATAATTTTTTTTTCTTGTTTTCCTCCTCCAAAAACTAGGTGCGTCTTGTGGTCTGGTGCGTCTTATAGAGCGAAAAATACGGTATATCTTTATTGTCATTGTCCCATGCAGGACAATGAAATTGCAAAACTACATAAAACTACATTAAAACTACATAAAACTACCACAAACTACATAAAACTACGTAAAAACTACATAAAACATTCAAAAACCCCTAAAAACTCTAAAACCCTATTTTAAAATACACTATACTGTAGAAACCCCTTATGCTGCCTTTAGAACCAGAATTGCATTTGCATAGAAACTGTTTCTCAGGCGGCTAGTCTGAGAATCCCAGCTGGGTTGCTTTTTCTTTCCCTTTTTCAAGCGTTTTAGTAATACCAGGCAACTGAATCATATGCTTGCTCCCTGCCCCACATTCCCGGGTCCTTCCGGAGGTTTCCCTTCATTCCTGCCCCCTGCCTTGCCCCACCTTCCAGTTCTAGGAGGCTTCACTGGGAGCTGCTTCCAGAGGAAGAACTGTGGGGCGTGACTCCAATATGCTGCAGGGGGACATAGAGGGAAATTCATCCCTCGAAAAAAAGAAGAAATGTTTTTTGAATCGAGTTTTCAGAAGTTTTAAGTTTCACAAGGCTGCACAAACACTCCTGCTAGAGGGGGTGGGGAGAATACATTACAGTGGTACCTCAGGTTAAGTACTTAATTCGTTCCGGAGGTCCGTTCTTAACCTGAAACTGTTCTTAACCTGAGGTACCACTTTAGCTAATGGGCCTCCCGCTGCGCCGCCGGAGTACGATTTCTGTTCTCATCCTGAAGCAAAGTTCTTAAACTGAAGCACTGTTTCTGGGTTAGCAGAGTCTGTAACCTGAATCGTCTGTAACCTGAAGCGTCTGTAACCCAAGGTACCACTGTATCACAAGGTTATCTTGGCATTATTCCTGCATTGCAGGGGGTTGGACTAGATCAGGCATAGGCACCTTTTGGCCCTCCAGATGTTTTGGACTACAATTCCCATCATCCCTGACAACTGGTCCTGTTAGCTAGGGATCAGGGGAGTTGTAGGCTAAAACATCTGGAGGGCCGAAGGTTGCCTATGCCTAGACTAGATGACCTTGGGTCCCAGAGGAAGAACTGTGGGGAGTTTCTCCAATATGCTGCAGGGAGACATAGAGGGAAATTCATCTCTTGAAAATATGATGAAATATTTATTAACAGTGTTTTCAGCAAGTTTCACAGGGCTGCACAAAGGCCCTGCTAGAGGGGGTGGGGAGAATGCATATTTCAAGAGTACCTTGGCATCATTCCTGCCTTGCAGGGGGTTGGACTAGATGACCCCTTGGGTTCCCTTCCAACTCTATGATCTTGCCAAGCCTGGCTTGTCTACAGCTATTCCATCCCCGAGCAAATCCAGAGCAGAGGCGTAGCATGGGCCAGCCTGCGGGGGCACCTGTCGTGAGCTGTTGCATCTTCGCGCAACGTCTTCCATCTGAAGGACTAACAGGCTGTACCCTGCCAGCCGCACACAGCTTTTTGCAAATCTCAGAAAGTGGTGTTAGGCTCGCAGTGCACTATGAGACTTGCACCCCCAAAGCAAGGCAGCATCAGCCACGTTGGTTGGCCAAGTTCCCCACTACATGGCCGAGCAGGCGGCGCCAATTCCCCCCCCTCTTAGCCCCAGTTACTGGGGGTCGCTCCACTGGCACAACTTGTCCCCATGGGGTTGGCATGCCCCGGGCACCAGCAAGGAATGCTACGCCACTGATCCAGAGTGTTTTCCTACCTTTGTACTCCAGGGACGCCTCCTCTATAGGAACTGCCTCGTGGCTTTTGTGCTCCTTGGCTCTGTCACAACCAGACATATGGGGGCTTCATCCTCCTTGCAGAAACAGCTTCAGGGGCTCCTGGTGCTTCTCACAAACTCTCCCCTTTCCTTCGGCCTCCTTTTTTCCGCCCAGATGACTGAATTTCTGGGTTATTTTCCACAAATTGCCAGCTGCTGGTTTGGCCTAATGCTGCCTTGCTCCACTGTTTTCCTGCACTGAGGGCAGGAAGCCTCTCCCTGCGATTCCCCAATACAAGGATCAGGCAGGATCGCAGAAGTTGTGCCCCGCACTCCGGATGATCACTGGATCCTGGAAATACTCAGGCAGATGGAGCAAGTGGCTCCTCGCAGAGATCCATGACGGACCTCAGAAGCAGCCTATTGCCACCGCTCCAGGGAAGAGAGTTTGGTTTCGTTTTCTTTGCTTTTCGTCTGCAAATGAGCGTGTTTCCTTTCCAGGAAAATTCAGACTCAATTGCGTCCAAATATGATATTGGAGCTGTGGAGTTAGCTGGAGCAGAGAGCCTCTTTCGTGTAGAGGAATTAATTCCTTTATTTCAAAAGGAATGCTCTGGGCGGCTGCTCATTAAAGGACCCATTCTCCAGTGAGAGCAGGAGAGAAGTGAGGTTGTATTTCCCTAACTTCACATGAGCTTCAACTAATTTTAAAACCGATGAATGAATCCTAACTCCATTGCCCCACAAAATGCTCCATTTCTAGCTATTTCGCCTCAATGTAAAGAGTAGAAGCAGCCCAACACTCCATCACAGTGGCTATTTTTAGTGTGGACAAAATCACAGCCTCTCTGATAACGTGAAAAAACACTGGTCTGCCCCCTAGTGAAGACTGGGATCACACAGCATTTTTAGCAATAATGAGAAAATGGGGTCCTTCATAATCAAAAAAAATGACTGGGTCTTTTTTTTAAATACTGCTGTGAAGACCCAGTGAAGCTGAAAGGAGGGAGAGTCAGGCACACAGAAGGAAGGACTTCTCTTGTTAACCGAAAATCCGAGGGCTCCCTTGGACAAAAAGTAAAGACACCACCAGAGTAAATTGGAGCAAATCAGCAGCCTGTAGGCTTGGTCTTTATTGAACTGTTGCAAACAGGTGTTCCCCTCACTTTGCAGGAGAGAGGAAAAAAGACACAGAAAATGGTGTGCAAGACCTTATAAAACTTTGAATTTTATTCCACACCTCTAGTCAAGCCCACCCCCAGAAACATCACGCATACATTACAGAAGGAGGGGTTGAGGGAGAGTTGGTGTGGTAACGATGATGTCCTGTCACCTGGCTGGTTCCCCTCTACTCCTCCCCATGAGTCATTTTCTGAAGACAAAAGGTAGTCGCAGTTTCCTGCCCTGAGGGAAGATCTGATCATTGTCCTTTGTTCCAGTCCATCCTGAATCCACTCCAATGCAAGTTCTTTGTGATCTGATTTGACTTCTGTCTAGGACCATCAGGGTTGGCATAGCAACTGGGCAGGGCTCCTGTGGATGTGCTGGGCTGGCCTGTATCAAACCTTCCCATTTTGTAGTCCTTCCTTCGTGGAGTAAAATAAAAGTGCACAGTGTGAATTTATTTGCTCCCCAATGTGTGCATTGGTGAAAGGGAACCCATGCCTTTGGCATGATTAGGCAGCCATTTTTACATAGTACGGATATGTGACAAATTTGGCAATATGTATGCAAATAAATGAAGTAGATTGTTACAGCAGTAAGACAGCAGTAAGTTGAGCTTTTAGAGTCAACGATGCAACGAAAGAGAATGCAACGGACGAGCAGAAGGGGAACATAGTCTAGGTACATTTGATACAGTACATTGTGAACCAAATCATATCAGTGTAGCATGTAAGGACACATACACTCGAGGGTACAGTAAAATGGTGAGTAAGCATCAGTGTAGCAAATGAGGATACAAAGGATACTGGCACATTAATATTCTTATAACGGGGAATGGAGAGTGTGGTGGCAATACTTCTATTCTTCTACTTAGCGTATGTGTGGGGTTTTGCGTCAGTGTTACTTGTGTGGGTTCTCTGACTATTCACTCGTTGTGTTTCCTTGGTGGCGAGAGGCTGTTACGATTTTTGAGGTGCAAATGACAAAAGAGCAACAGGAAGCAAAATCTTTGATAAAAGAAGAAGAGGAGGAGTTTGGATTTGATATCCCGCTTTATCACTACCCGAAGGAGTCTCAAAGTGGCTAACATCCTCCTTTCCCTTCCTCCCCCACAACAAACACTCTGTGAGGTGAGTGGGGCTGAGAGACTTCAGAGAAGTGTGACTAGCCCAAGGTCACCCAGCAGC